TACGCACTCTATACACTTGTCTAATAATAAAGTTAAAACATAAAAAACACTACTTAACTAGTAAGAACTACACAGCTGCATCTTTATATAATAAAGAGGATTAAAGTAAGCAATAGTGTGTAATTATTACGCAAGGCTAGAAAGATAAGAAGCCTAGTAAAGCATAGTTAAAAAGAATAAATATTAAAAAAGCGTTTATAGAAGAAAACTTACTAAGTAAAAAGAAATTTCTAACACCTATAATAGAGTAGGCATAACAGCAAGGACGCTAATAGGGAGAAGAGCCCGCGTGTTACAGCCTACGCTTAGACTATAAGCAACTAGTTAGTAATTCCCTACAGCTCTTATAATTAGGGCTAGAAATTTCTTAAGCCTCTATCTAGTAAGTCACGTGACTTTATAGACTTATTAAAAGAAAAATAAACTAAGCTATTAAACTAGTGCATAGCAGAATGCATTATCGAATAGGATCTCTTTTATTATAAGCAAACACGCGCAATGCAAGCTACTCTATAATTACATGCACTGCGTGCACTGCGCACAACTTTATGTATATAGTCTTAATTCTAACTATTACTAGAGGGTTATAATTAATAGTTAGTTTATTCTTTATATAGACTAAGTAGTATTACTACTTTTTAATAAGAAGTAATCTAATTATATATCTTATACTATATATACATTCTTTTTTGTTTTATTAAGGAACTGTTTAACCTAAGCGCCTTATACTGCTGTTATAGAGCAAACTACAGTCAGCTAATCCTCCTAGTCCTAGCAGCCACGCCCCAACAGACTGTACACCTGATAAGACTAAGCTTCCTTTCCTCTCCGCGCACCTAATCATCCTTTATAGGCCTAGAGTTCTTTAGAGACCATTTCTCCGAAGTTAAGACTGTAACAAAGACACAGTTTCTGTCTCTTCTACAGTCTATCTATGCCTTCTGCTTATAGTCTAGACCTGTGCTATAGTAAAGGTAATGTAGCATTTTACATTTAGTTGCTATTTTTTCTAAGGTGTTGTTACTTATACTATTTCCTTCTATTAATTATAGCCACTATCCTGCTTAATGCTTTGTAGGCTAGTACTGCACATAATATTAATTAGTGCATATATACTATTTAGATAGGCACTTTTTTAAGTTTATATAGACTAGTACTAGTTGTATCTATGTCTATCTAGGGTATTCTTTTGTTTGTATAATTTAAAGAGGGTGTACTTTATACGTTAACACTTTTTTTTAAAAAAGTTAATGTTACTAAAAAAAATATTATTTTTTTAGTAAAAAAGTTTCTTTATTAGACTTAAAATCTATTTAGCTATTAGTGTAAAGTTAGAACTAAATAGCTAAAAAGCCTTTTAGGTAAAGTTCTATTTAAAAGATTATTTCTTTATGTGTTTAAAAAGCGCTCTTATTATATTACATATAAAAGTAGCATTATATAAAGAAAAGTTTAAGGTTCTTTACACTTTTACTAAAAAGTTTAGGGAGTATAAGTCTTAATGTTTTTTTAAAGTTTATACTTAACTTTTCTTAGGCTGTGTTTCTTAGGTTTAATACTTTAAGTTAAAAGGCTTAGATTTAAGAGTTTACTGCTATTAGTCTATAGTTTACTAATTAGGCTAATAGTTATTTTAGCTTAGCTATTTTATTTCTTATATTATTTAGCTATTTAGTTATTACTTTTTTATTTAAAGTTAGAATCTAGCTAGTGCCTACTAGTAAGGCACTAATTATTTCTTAGTTAGTAAAGGTAGTATAAGAATTTATACTTTATTAGAAAATAGTAATTAATGTTATAATCTTAACTTTAAAGAAATAGTATCTAAAGAACTCTAGGCCTAAAAAAAGAGTTAGGAGTGTAGAGAGAAGAGAACTTAGCCTTAGACAGGTGTACAGTCTGCTAGAGCGTAGTTACTAGGGCAAGGAGGTGCAGCTAACTGTAGTTTGCCCTTTAACAGCAGTATAAGGTGCTTAAGTTAAACAGTTCCTAGTAGGAACAAGAGAGAAGGTATATATAGTGTAAAATATATAATTAAATTACTTTTTATTAAAAAGTAGTAATACTACTTAGTTTATAGAATTAATAAACTAACTATTAATTACAGCTTTTAAGTAAAGTTAGGATCTTAAACTATATACATAGAGTTGCATGTCTACATGTTTTGCATGCTGTTGCATGCAGCGCATCTCTAGCATGCACTTGCATGCACTGCATACATTTGCATGCAAGTGTTTCCTTCCTATTAGATGACGCATTCCGCCGCGCATTGGTCCAGCAGCTTGGTCCATTCCTCGTCCGTTAAGTCACGTGACTTGTTGGGCAGGGAATCAAGGACTTTCCATCCTTGATCGTTCAAACAGCGGGGCACTGCTGACTGGTCGCTTACGGTCCAATCGTGGATCGTAACAACTACTAAGCTAGCTAAGGGGAGAGGTACAACTAAATACTTAGGTGAATAGGGGTAACTGCGGGGGACAGGGTCAAGTCATGGTCAGGGCCGATACAGGGACTCTTTGGATAGGTTCCGAGCGACCTGAGATGGAACGATTCGTGAGAATTGTTACAACTATAGGCTTTAAGTTAAAGCCTAGAGAGAGAAGAGTAGATGTTATAACTACTAGTTAGGCTTAAGAAACATGTAGGTCTCTAACCTTTAAAAAAAGTTTAAAGCATGTAGTAATAAAAAAAAGTAAAGAAGTATAAGCTAAAGTAAGTAAGCTATTCTAAAGACGCTACAAACAGTGTAATTAGACTAGGCATAACACGCAAATGTGTAAGTAAGAAGTAGAAGTAATCTCTAAATAATATTCTAGGCTGTACTGTACTATACAGTGCTAAAACGGGTTGTTATAGGCCATAATAGAGTGCGTTGTGGTGTGGTCTTGGGAAAAGTGAGCGACTTAGGTGTGTGAGCAACTCGCCTGTGGTGTACGTTATTAACAGTTACTGTTATTATCTTGTTCTGCTTTAACAACACTCTGTGCACACTTTAGAATACTTTTTTGCATAGAAAACTGCCTATCAGCTCTTGCAGTTCTTACTAGGTTAACATTTCCTCTCTCTTGTGCTACTTCCTAGGTTCTTCTAACCCTTCTAGCGTTATAGTGAAGGACAAAAGCTGCCTCTATATTCTAACATGCATCGCAAAAAATAAAACATGTAAAGACAGAAAGAGATAATTTAGGCCTCTAAGCCTAAGGGTAGGATTCTGGACTGTGACATTGCCTACAACGTGGGAGCTCCTTAAAACTGTTCATTCGAAAATCTCTGTATCGCAAAAAAGGTCGCTCGTGGCGAGGAAAGCGAGACAGCCACACCTAGATCCAGTGAAGGCAAAGCCCTTGCCCTCCTACCTGAATATAGTAGGATTGTCCAGATCTTGGACACCGCTGACCGCAACCTAGGCCATGGTGAAGACACCATTCGCTTTAATTATTTTCCCCTTGGTGACTTGAAGAACTGGCGGGAGAGCACTTTAGTGCAGCGCAACCACAGGCAGATCCTAGAATCGCACCTTTGGCACTTCTTTATCCAAATGACCCAGGCTCTTGCATGCATTCACAATGCCCTACGCTCCATCTAAATTAGTCGACGCGTTCAACGGCACCGCTACATCAAGCAAAAGCAGGCGCTCGTGTATTTGAACGGCACGACGTATCCATCCTTCAAGCGTCACAACTTTGCTTGTGCGAAACAAATCACGGCCTAGTTGCCCCGAATGACATTTGCGGGTACATACAGATGGCAAGTACCGGAGAATCCGAGAATCAACACCTCCCTGCCAACATCTGGTTGTTTGGGGCTTGTGGTCACTATCTTGCTACCAGAGAAGCCCCTATTAAGTCAATTGCACCTAAAATGGCGGATATGGCTGCCAAGAACTGAGTCTAATTTCATGACAGGCCAGTAATGAGGAATTACAACAGACGATTCCGGTACTTTGCCGCAAGAGTGCCGTGACATATCATTTCCATCAACCTCTCGAAAGTAGAGCAGGAGGCACGGGGCATTGTCCCATCCTGAATCTAGAGCGAGCGAGGTTCAACCCGCATTGCTGCAACGAATTGAGCTCCTGAATGACCCGAGTCCTTCGCCACGGCCTAAACAGCCGACCATCAGGGGTCGACCTAGCTAACAAGATGATTCCACTAGCAAAGAGGATGCTGAGAAGGAGTTTGGCAAGGCAATCTAGATTAGTAGACTTAGAGATCAACTTTGAAGCCTGATCTGGTAGGAGTGGGAGCCGGGTAGATAATGTCGTATGTAGTTGGGTGAGAGGCAAGTACCATCCGGAATGACATGCTGATTTGAGACCTGGACATAAGTATAAACCATGAAATAGTTTCGTATGTGAGCTGAGACTTTGCTATGACAAGATAGTCTCCGTGAGCCTTTCCCAAATCGTCCCACAATCTGCATCATACATATGGTATGCCTTCAGGGTACTCTAGGGCTGTCCTGCACAGATCGACATCCACTCTCTGGACATCAATCGGGCAAAGACGTCTAATTGTTTATACTAAGAGTAGGAGACACGGTCAAATCCCCTTCACCCCTTACGGGGCCTTGCTTCCGTAAGCGAAAACAGGATTCTAGCTTGTCCTAGTGTTATTCGGTATGCCATTGCCTTTCTCAAAAGCGCTAGAATTTACGTTGAGTCCTCCCAGCTAATGTTGAATGCGTCGGTTTTGGGATTCTGCACCCAGTGCAAATAACTCGGAGTTACGAATGAGAATGAGAATGTTGAAGATAGGAATGTGGATATGATATCTATGCCGATCCATAAACAGCCTCTCACCAATGCATGCTCTAATCAGCCAAGGGGTCCAGAAAACGTGACCAAAAATGCAAAGAGCCAAATCCAACAATCCTCGACCATCAATAGAGGGTGTCTCGCTTCACGTACCTTTAAGCCGCAACTTTACTAGTATTCTACTCCCTCAAAAAGTTTTCAATGGTAGAGAGTTCTACTTGCCTTCAAGTTTGCTGTCTAGTTCCTATTCCTCGGGGCTCTTTTCGGGCAGCGGGTCCTCCACCATCTCCTCCGTTTTGACTCCACCGCTAGCACCAGAACCAACGGTAGAGATCGCTGCTACTGTCACTTTGTCTACGGCCTGTTTCGCTTGGTCAATGAATTCGGGTGCTGGTGTTTCTTCCGGCGGGATGTTGAAGTCCTTGGGTTCCTGGCCAGCGGTGCTGGGATTGATGGTGACAGTCTTATCGCGATCGCTGTGGTCGTTGATAACAGCGTAGGGAGTACCATCTGTGAGTTGGCCGGTGACGTGGGCCTGGTGCTGTGGTTCGTAGTGCGTATCTGAAGTTCCGGTATGGTGTTCAGAGGAAGCGTCGCTGATTGGGACGTTTGTTGAATCTTTACCTTCTTCTACCTTCGAATTCGAGACAGGGGTCGCTAGAGTCGACGCTGGGTCCTGGAGTTCCGGCTTCGGCGTGGCAGCGGGGGTTGGGGTATCCGTTGGGGGCGTGGCAATATCAATATTGGTGTCATCTAAGTCTAGAGGTTGCGTCGCTGTCCCAACAGTCGTGAGTGCCAGCTCCAGCTCGTCAATAGGCGTGTTGACTGTGGCCAGTCCATGCATAGCTTTGATGGACACGGGCGTCTCGAGCCTGCATACTGTTCTCCGCCGGGGCTTCCCCTTCTCATGGCCTACTGCAACTGCTTTTACGCTTCCATCATGGCTCTCCTCCCATTTGATCGGTCCTATTGGCCAGGTGTTTTCCCCGTTTTGGGTAGCTGGTGATTCCCAGCGTAGTGATGCCTGAATAGCGGGCTCGAGGACCGGCATCATGCCGAATTCAAAGTCCAGGTTACCACCATATTTCTTAGGGATGTTATCCGGATCTATGTATTGGGAGAGCGTGGGAAAGACGTTTGAGGGCGAGAGGATGAAGATCTTAGATACGGTTATGGGGTCAAACCAGCGCTTGATCCAGCCCCAGACGGTGGGGAAGAAGACGGGGGCGCCAATGATCTAGTACAGCGGGTTAGCTGTGGCTTCCCGTCCCTAGGTCAGAGAGAGGGCGATGCACGAAACATACAAATATCCTGTCCAGCGTCTCCGGATAGTGTGCCGTTGCCAGCTGCGAAGCGTCCTGCATGTGGTTTTTCAGGTTCCAGAACTGCTTCAAGCCCACCTTGCTTATGTCGACGATGTTGTTGCTCTGTGAGATGGGCGTCTCGGGGTGTTTTCGGTCTGTCACGGCGGAACACAGCGGCATCACGAATCGCGTCAAGGACTCGTAGAGGGCGACCAGGCGTAGCAATTTGGGAGCGACTTTGGCGGGAATTTTGAGCGAGGATTCAGCCACCATCTTCTCGTACCCGGAAATCGCCTTGGTGTTGAGCGGCGCGACTTCGTACAGAAATACGGGAATGCCGCGTTTGTCACGACGGCCGGTCCATTGTGGGTACTGAGCAAGGCTGTCAGGCGGCGTTTTGGACGGAGGAGAAGGGACGGAGTACCAGGCGGCGCGTCTGCTCGTACTCTTCGGCCTCAATGCTATCGTACAGATCTACAACGTTATTTTCCACGCGCCAGTCCTCGGTGTCCTTGAACTGCTTGAAGGCTTCCTGGTGGTTGAAGCGCCGCGCGCGGAGATACCGCCTAGCCCACCGTCAGTGCCGTGCCCATTGAAACAATGGCGCTGGTGAAGCTGTACAATAAAGTTTCGTCGTCGTGGCTAGGATCAGTCTTCTTGTTGGTGCCCGCGGGCTTGTAGTAGCCCTCGTCAAGGCATTGCTGCTTAAACACGTCGAGGGCAGCCTGTTGGTTATCGCTTAGATGGCCGTAGTGGGCGGCGGGGTACTGGAACGACTCAATGCGCGTCAGGTCGTTCTGCGACATGGCGGCTCAGCAGGGTATGATGTGCAAAGTGAAAATGATCAGGTTTTCAAGATAGGGCAGGTAAGGGAGCCTGAAGTCATATTAGGGCGACATGTTGGTGTTTATCTTCTAAACCGGGCGCCGCCAACATACTGGTGATGGAAAGCGTCCCAGGGCTGTGGCACCCGAGCACGAGTCATTAGCCCGATCCGGACGAAAAGTACATTCAGGCGGCGAGAGCACGAGCTTCTCCTGTCATGGGGAGATGATTGGTATATTTGAGAGTGAATGATTTGGCCACGGGACGAGGCGTGGTCGAAGCGTGGTCGAGGTGTGCAGTGAATTGTTTCCGCAGCCACCCGGGGTTTGCCAAGACTTTTAGTAGAGTAATGTAAGGCCGAGATGGCGCTTACGTGCGACGGGTATATATACTATTCTGTACGCAGATCAACCGTTGGTTGATTATTCGCACCTTTTTGGTTGTATTGGAGCAGTGGTACAGAGCTCCGTCCTTACAAGTAATACATTGTAGTTTCTACTAGTTAAACTTATAAGCCTATGTAACTTTTGTACTATGCAATTACTTTCGCACAACCCTAGCCGAACGCCGAGCGGACCTACTGGCTTACCTAATGTCCCGTCTTTGATGTCTTGTGCTCGACTGCAAATGAATGAGATAAGCCTGCTCCTCTCAAGACCGGGACATAGTGGAGAGCCCAAGAAAGGTTGCATCAAGCCCATTTCAAGCAACGAGTCGACTCGTGTGCCTCCTTGCACTCCAACCCGCAAATCCTGGCACCACATTTCAAGCACTTGATTTTGCCCCAGTAACCGCAATTATCACAGAATTGTCGCTGCGGTGGGTGATCTGCGGGTAATGTAGCAAAAGATTCTGCATACGAGAGGGGCAGTGCAGAGAGGAGCACGTGAAGCTCGGCTTTACTAGGCGGCGGTGCCATCGAGTTCTCAGTTAAGAGCAGTAGGTCTCCTTCCTCACGAGCTGTTGAAGGTCTTGGGGTTAACACAACTGACATTGGCCCGGGTGTTGCTTCTAGCGGGGTCGGAGGTACGGTACTCAATTTGCGAGTCGATGCAGCTGTTCGGGGGGCAGCCGCGGCAATTCTAGGTGCCGGACCTTGTTGGACAAGTGCTTCTTCCTCATCTAGCCAGTGTTTGATTTGTCGCGCGGATTGCAGGATCCTCCTAGCGTTGGCCGTCTTCGCGGGAGCACCTAGAAAAGCACCCTCAGCTCTGAAACGAGTACCGACACCGGATGTACGCACTCTTCCCAGGAATACCTATCTGCTGTTTCGGGTCGTTGTCCCTGTCCAACTCTCCTATTCGTCGCGCGATGGCTGCTTGTTGTCTTGCAGTGAGCTCGTTGTCGCCGCAACGGCCTGCAGTACGAGCTGCGGCACGTTTGCGATCTTTCGGGTTGATTGCGACCCTCGATGGATCATAGCCGGTGTCTACGACATAGGTCCAGCCCGGTGCTGCAGCCGTGGCAGAGTTGGGGAGAACTTCGACGTGTGGCATGGCGAGGGAAGATGTGCGCCTTCCGATGGATATTCTCCTTACTAAGTCCGCATGGGCGGAGATTAGATCACGTGCCAGTACCTCACCTGTATGTGAGGTACGACCACTTGGAGACGATAGAAACCAGGTCACTATCTCCCCAAAAACATAGATAGCTACCCTCTTGAAATCGCCTTTCACAATGTCGAATCCAGAAAGGGAACCGCCAATCATTGTTACAGCTTCAAGTCCACCTGAGGGTCCCACCAATCCTGCAGCTTTCATTTTTATCTATGGACTTGGCGATGATGGGGTTGGATTAGAAAGTCCGTATATGAAGCACCAAGTAGATCCTAATTCGTTCTAATTCGTTCAAGACGTTCCTGGCCAGTTCCGCTCGGTCTCAAAACTCTCTCACTTGTCTTGGATTCTTCCCAATGCCCTCGAGAACCACGAAACTATACAAACTGCCTGGTATATACCAACGGCCTTGTCTTCATATCCGTCATCGTGCCTAGAATTGGAGGATGAGGGGGATGATGCTGGGATGAAGTCGAGCATAGCTTACCTGGTTTCCCTAATCGATGATCTAGTTGCCAAAAGGGTACCCGAGAAAAGTGTTGTTTTAGGTGGCTTCTCTTAGGGATGCGCCATGACGCGTCTTACGGGTCTTACATCGAAGTATGCCAGCAAGCTAGGTGACTTGGTAGATGTTTCTGGATACCTTCCTGTGGCAGACAAGGTTTCTGCGCTGAGGGAAGAGGCTGGGTTGATAAAATATGTCGACGCAGGCGTTGACATATTCCTAGCAAGAGGGAAAGAGATACGCTCGTGTCTCAACGACACTTCAGAATATGTTATGAAACGCTATTCGGGTTGGGCATAAAGCAGGAGAAGGTGCTTGTGAAGGAATATGAAGAAATGGGCCACGTGATATTAGGACCAGAGCTGAAAGATCTTTGCAAATGGTTGGGGAGAATAGTTTCCGCGTTGCATTGAATACCTACATCTTCAAATAGTGAAATGAAATTGCCAGGTGGAACCATGCTGCAAGGGGGCCCACATCACCACTGAAGAGGCATCCCGAGGTTCCTCTTTCTTAGTCTTCAAGCCTCGTCAATTGTGAAAAACATTCTGACCCGAAAGCATGGATAAGTCGAAACACTTGAAGTTGATGAAGACGATGATTCATCCAGGGGCTTGTCGTCATTGGTCATTGGTTCCTTCCGAGGTTCCAGCTTGGCAGGGACTCGGCTTCAGCTTCAACCCCATATTTCCTTTGACCGCCATATTTTCTAGGCTGCAGGCTGCCTCCACTATTCCTCCCTCTCCATGTGCCTTTCGGTTTTCCTGTAATCTAATATGGCACTTCTCCGGCGATACGGCGCCTACCTAGCCATTGCTGCCGCTTTTGTCTACTTCCTCTACACTCTTAGTTTCCCATACCAGTCGGAACCGAGCGAGGTGCCCCATCGCCACAATCAACATGGCGGTAGTAAACAAGCCCCGCAACAAGGGTCTTACAAATGGGCCAAAATACCCCTCAAGCACCCCGTAACCTCCATGATCCCGCTGCCCACTGGCTCCCCCCTTCCGCTCCCAAAGATCCAATTCGACTTCGGCACGGAGGACAAGACGGCAAAAAATATAAGAGAGAAAAGGCTAACTGAAGTAAAGAAGGCGTTTGAGAGATGCTGGAGGTCTTACCGTGAAAGGGCGTGGATGCAGGACGAGTTGGAGCCTATCACCGGAGGATCAAAGAACCCATTTGGAGGATGGGCAGCTACGTTGATCGATGCGCTCGACACGCTGTGGATAATGGACCTACAAGAAGAATTCCACTCGGCAATGAAAGATGTGGCTGCGATTGATTTCGGAAGGACGGATTCGGAACGGGTGAACGTGTTTGAGACAAATATCAGGCATCTTGGTGGGCTGTTAGCTGCATACGAACTCAGTGGCGAGAAGATTCTCTTGCAGAAAGCAAAGGAGGTGGGCGAAATGCTATATCATGCATTTGACACACCTAATCGTATGCCCATAACAAGATGGGATTTTCACAAGGCAGGCGCGGGCAAAGCGCAAGTTGCTGATGAAACGGTTCTGGTTGCCGAGATTGGCTCTCTCACCATGGAGTTCTCCCGTCTCTCCCAGCTTACCAATGATCCGAAGTGGTACGACGCCATCAGTCGCATTATGGAAGTCTTCGAGAAACAGCAAGGCAAGACTAGATTGCCCGGCATGTGGCCCATCGTAGTAAACGCCAGGAAGCCCGACTTCACCCAGGATACTGGATTTACTTTGGCAGCCATGGCCGATTCTCTGTACGAGTACTTGCCGAAGACATATGCTCTGCTTGGCGGCCTGAATCCTCTGTACAAGAAGCTATACCAGGGATCGATGAAGACCGCTATCAGGCACACACTGTACCGACCAATGACTCCCGAAAACGCCGATATCCTTATGTCCGGTTTCGTCCGTGCAGAAGGGTCTGAAGCTAATCTCTACCCTGAAATGCAGCACTTAGTATGTTTCGCTGGAGGCATGTTTGCCCTTGGCGGCAAAATCTTCGAAAATGAGGAGCACGTTGCGATTGGTCGGAAGCTCGCCGATGGTTGTGTATGGGCTTACAAAGCCCTACCCTTTGGTATCATGCCAGAAGTTTCCCATCTCTACGCATGCCCTAATACCACTGAATGCGACTGGGACGAGCAGATCTGGAAGGACGAGGTAGCAAGAAGGGCAGACTTGGGCACTGAAAAGGATCCTCTGCAGAACATAGCTAACTTGAGATTACCGAAAGGCTTTACTGCCATAAACGATCGACGTTACATCCTTCGGCCGGAGGCAATTGAGAGCGTATTCATTCTATATCGAATCACTGGTCAACAGCAGTGGCAGGCAGCTGCTTGGGATATGTTCACGGCCATCCAGCAGAATACCCAAACCGACTTGGCGAATGCTGCGTTGATAGATGTTTCTGTGTCAGACTCATCGCCGCCGAAGATGGATTCTATGGAGGTAAGTCTTATTATTATTTGTTGGATGAAAAGGGATCGCTGACATGGTGCAGAGTTTTTGGATGGCAGAAACTTTGAAGTATTTCTATCTTATTTTCAGCGAGCCCAACGTTATCAGCCTAGACGACTACGTATTCAATACCGAGGCACATCCCTTGAAAATCCCGAAATGAGGATGCTGACATATAAGAGATAAGCCGTTATCTTTATTTGAGAGCAGCCCCAGTGGTCCCGGTGCTGTCTGCGGATCTGAAGCAACACACTTTGTATATTGAATTGTAACCATAGTTGTATTCAGCAACTGCCCCATCTCCCGGTAGCGTGTCGGCGCTCAAGACGGTTGTTCAAGGTGGATGTAGATACCCATCACCAGTACACGAGAAATCAAAGTATTTGCAGACCATTGTTGGGTTGTCCAGGGATGACGTCTATCCCAGGACATGGGAGTCTCTTTCAAGCCTGTTATTGCAGCAGTATTTATTGTACTCCAAGACTTTCTCGTCCTAGGTGTTGCACGCAAATCTCCGGCTGATCTTACTCCACCTTAGTCGACTGACCTTCCTCAGTTCTGGCACTCTTTCTGACATTCCGTAGTCACAATCCTATCCTATTTCCAATAATCAATTCCACATAATACGTCAGATCTAGCACACAATTGCTGGAAGATATGCTCGGATTCATTGTCTTGTTGGCCGATAGTTCGCCTGTAGCACTCGAATTGTGGGCTTTACGGCGAATTCATGAATACAAGGCGAAGGAAGTTGGAGAACTTGCACGCTCCTGATTTCCAAGCAACAAAATCTCGAAAACGCAAGTTTCAAGGTGTGATTGGAGATTTTGTATAGCTCAAGGGAAGAGAGAACCTACACTTTGAGTTATCTGACACTTCTCCTTTTTTTTTTTTTACTGTGTTCAGTATTGGAGTTCCTTCAAATCATTCCTCTCAAGTTATTGCCGCAGAAGGAATAGGAATACTAACCTCCTCAAAAGCCATCCTAGCCATCTTCGAAGCAACAGGCTACCAAGTCAGCCGCCATACTTATCCTCAACCCTCAACCCTACCCTAACACTCTTCAAGGAGATTCTGTAGTCCAGTACTTCCTACGCCACCCAAAGTCACCCTACCAAATTCGCACGCCCACCCGCAACCTCGGTTCCGCCAAACCCACTCGACTTTCCACTGCCGAGGCTTCCATTGTCCAGGCCGACCTCAAGTCCCTCACAAGCCTCTCAGCCACGCTCGCAGGCATGTACCTCGTAACTTATTTCTTCTCCTGTGGTTCCCGGCCAAAGAAATCGAACAAGGCAAACGTGCGCTCGACACCCCAGCCACCTCCCAAACGCTCAAACGCCTAATTTTCAGCTCTCTACCCTTCAGTCACTGAGAATTCCGGCGGCAAGTTCAAGAAAATGATGCACTTTGACTCGGAAGCCGAAATCGTGATGCAGAAAACGTCCATCGAGAGTTGTGGCAGAAAACGGTGTTGTGGATTTCAACGTATTTCCTGTTGTGGCTGCAATTCCCGGCGGTTTTTGCGCCGAGGAAGGAGGGGGAGGAAGGTTAGATTTGGATCTTGCGGCTTCCGGCAAAGAAGACGAAGATGCCGATGGTAGATATTGGTAATACGAGGAAGTTTGTTGATGGGATTGTTGCCAAAGGTGTCAGGGGCTTTGGGGAAAGGACGGTGAGTATGGTTTCTGGGGGCGAGGTCACTCAAACCAAGGTTCTGGATATTTGGGGTAAGTTTGTTGGGCGAAATGTTGGATTTCAGACGGCCGTTGTGGGAGAATATGAAGAGTATATTAAGAGCTTGGGATTGCGTGAGATGATCTACAAGGATATGGAGGGTGTATCGCAGTTTTTGGGGAATTTAGACAAGCGGTTTTTGCCACGGAGGGGTTTGCGCAGGTGTGTGGATTTGAACGTGGGCTAGGTTGGAGAGATTGCACTAATGTTGTATACAGATTCTACCCCAGGGAGAGAAGTTGAGAGGTTAGGAAGAATATGTCAATATGGAGAATTGGGAGGGCTTGCTTGCTTAATAATGAGCAGGGTACATTGCTGAAATGGGCAACTGACTCTCTACAGAATCATTATTAGCAAGCGATCTTTAAGGTTTCCACTCTTCTTCGTATGTTGCGTAGTAGCCAAGGATATGTTATCAACCAGACGCCGTATTTGAAAGATTTCAAGGGTGTCCCATCATTGTTATCCAGGGTTACCAAGCTACCTACAACAGATAGCATATTATGAAGAAAGTAGGCCTAAGTTTACTTAGTAGACTTAGTGAATCTATCCAGATTTGCCTCAAGGTATCCATTTGCCGCCAACTTCTGAAGCCAGAGAGAGATGACCGGGCCGTAATCCCATCGCCTCTCGTTAGCCTTAGCATCCTCTTCAGCCTCAACTGTCATCTCATTCATTATACTCTCTTGCAGCTTCGACTGCTCTTGCAGCAACCCATCTCGTCGACGGACCAGATGCGACAAATCCTCACCATCAATCCTTTTCTGGACGTAGTCTGGAACCATAGCCACGCTGAGCTGATCCTGGAATGTTCCGAGCGAAGTGAGCAAGCCTGGGCTGGTCATTGCATCGGGAAGGGTTCTATCCTCGTTAGAGATCCAAAAAGCGGACCAGTCCTTATCGATTGAGTCGAGCCGCGCCTCTACGGCTTTGTAAATGGCAATGTTGGTGCGCATATCCTTTCGAAGGCCAACGAGGGGAGACTGAGTCAGGGCCATAACATTATAGTCGTTGTCACCTGCGGCCTGCATGACCGCACCAATCTTGCCGGCAACGATGCTGATCCAGTCGTACTCGTCCTTGAACTTACCAATGGACGTTGGCTGCGCATCCATGCCGTCCAATTTCCAAACCTCGCCGTCGATAGGAAGAAAGGCTATGAAATGGTTGGCGTTGTCCTCGATACTCTCTGCGGAATCAGTTGATTTGCGGCGATCCTCTCGCCACATACGGCGAGATTTTTGGGTTTTGGCGACCTTTAAGGCCAATCGCTGATCTTCTTGTAGCATATCCTGCTTTTTGGCGAATGAATTGTGGATTCGCTTTACGAATTCGAAGCTAGAGAGAGCCTGGCCGCGCTGGTATGGCGTTAAGCCCTGCGAATACTCCTTGAACTGCTGAAGGTGATCGCCGATGTCGACGCCTTTGAGGTTCAGGAGGATGTTAAGTATGGCAAGAGTAGCGCAACTATTTTGGGCAGGCAATTGGTTGGCAAACCAGACATTCTCAGGGCAATCCGCTTCTTCGTTCTCAGCGTCAACGGGACGGAAACGAAAGAGGAGAATAATGCCGTAGACTGGCTGAGGCATATCCATGATGGCATCTGGAGTGGCTGCGTAGGACTCGCGAACGCAAACGCCATTCACGCCCATTTCTCGAATCATGGCGGAGAAAAAGACTGGATCAGACTCAATCTCACAGAAGCCTTGCCAGGTGTTCTTGTCGTGTACAGTAGCAGGAAGGTGGGGAGGACTTGGGTATTTCTCTTCCTTCTCAGCCTTCTCGCCATTTAGAGGAGTAGTTGGAGCTTCCGGCGAATCCTTCTTGCCGGAGCTGCTTGGGGCCCCTGGCGTCTTCGTGCTAGAGGTGCCTGAGGCCTCTAGCATCTCCTTCTTGCTGGCCGTGCTTGGAGATACGCGAGCTTTTTTCTTGCTTAGATTCTCCAAGTGGGAAGTCTCAGGAGACAGGGATCGTTTCTTGGGGTCAGGGGAGATTGACTTTGGGTTGTTGACAGCTGATCCCTTTTCAACGGTAGACTTAGAAGGCGAGGTCGATTTCTTGCCGGTGGAAGGCTTTCTCGTGAGGGCTTTTATTTTGTATGGCTCTGGAGCCGTGGATTTCTCGGTTGTGGCCGCTTCTTTGGTAGCGGCAAGTTTGCTCGTAGTCGGCTTAGATGTAACTTGCTTGCGATTGCAGGGGTCTGTGGCATTGATAACACAATCAGATGGTACCTTGCGTTTTGGCGCTGGGCTCTGCTTGGATACGGGCTCAAAGGCCGAATCAGACGAATTGGAACCAGCCATTGTATGTTCAAGGGAGTGAATCGATGGTAGAAAAGCGCGTTGAAGGAGGCTGAAGGAGATCACCAGGAAGGAGCATGATGAGAGAGTATTTATGTGGGAGCCGGCCTAATCTAGCTATTATCCCGTCGCACGATCAATAAAATGTTCGCTTTGACTTGGCACTCTTGGAAGGGAGATGAAGTGGAGAGAGAGAAGGTGAAGGCGCAAGGACGGATATTCGCGTCCACGATTCGCCAAGGACCATTTTGCATGGGGCCGTCTATGCACTCATGTCAGAGTAGATGGGATGCACTCCTCGTGATACACTCAGCGTTTGCCAGAAATGCGAGACCGGACAGAATGATGAATGTATCAAGCAGAATTTGGAGTATGGCGTCTCGGGGGTTGACGATGGTGCGCTGTCACGTGGTGGCCCAAGCTTTCAGCCCTATGATGCGCGGTCCAAACGACGCGACTGAAATTTGGTTTGAGAGCAGTAGAAACATTCTCTACTCCACACCACACCACCCACGGCGATCCCACACACCACGCCTTTCTCACCCTCCCACTCCCTCCCAATCTATGACAGCGTCCTCCCTCCATCTTCTTTGCAACACGATGCGATGAATGGGACTCCTCGCCGAGGACCAGGCGGATTCCCCGCCACCCCCCAGACAGCCGCGCGCTCTCCAGGAGCAAGCAGTCCCAATGGCTCGACTACCAGCCGTCCAAATGTGGGTATGCCGCTGCCCGAAGTCCCGCGACCCGCTGGGGACAGCAAGACGGGGCCTCTAATACCTACCACCATTCTCGACGCCCCGACACAGCGCTTCTACGTCCTAGCCATCTACGTCGGCCTGTGGGCATGGCGGTTATACGACTTCTATACACTGGCGATAGACGAGGAGGAATCGCTGGCTCTATGCCTGAGATGGTGCTTCTTCGATATGACCTTCATCTTTTGTTTGCCTTTGTTTGAAATCCCGTGGCTGGAGTGGAGCAATGCCACGGCCTTCGTGCTGTTTATGCTGCATGCGGCCTTGGACGTTATGCTCATGTTCCGGATTGGCGTTCCCGTGCAGACTTGGCTGCTCTCCTTTCTGGCTTTCTTCTTCGACAGCGAGCTAGCAATCAGCGAGCGGAGCGTCAAGCCCGGGCCTATCTTGCACAACGCGTCCCTGATCTTGGGAAAGCAGATTATTCACATTCTGCCAGAAGGGTATGCACAAAATATCCGGCCATTTACATAGAAGATTCTAACAGGATTAGCTCTGCTATTTTGAACCCCAACAGAGAGCCCTTCTGCCTCAATTCCTCCATCACGCAGCTCGAGATCCCTATACAGATCAACCAAACCGAGCCCGTGGAAATCGAACTCATTCGAATAGACATTGATACAAATCAGAATGAGACGATCCTCATCAAGAAGGGTGAGATGAAGGCCCTGTTGAAAAAGGCGAGGAAGTTAATCAAAGTGGTGGATCCTTCCAGCCCCCTGGTGCTGCGGCACACAGTAAAGAAGACGGGCGTCTATCTGTTGAAGAAAGTCTTGGACCAGTCTAAGCTTGAGGTTCGCCCAAGAGCGTCGAGTCTTATCGTAGCTCCATGTCCACAATCTCGTGTGAAACCCACGGGAAATAGCCGTTGTCGTAATGACCTCTCCAATGTTTCTTTAGAGATTGAAGGCATTGCACCTCTCCGCATCAAGTACCGAACAACGGTCGATGGCCGCCCGCGAGAGGCCTCCGAGTTCCAAAGCCTTCAACCAGATGATTTCGTCTCCCCGCTCTCAAAACACACATCGCAAGCTTTGATTCAGAGCAATCGGCAGGATGTGTCCTGGGCGCGGTCTCAAAAGGTCACAGTAGCGCTGAACGAAACTCTCTTAAACAGTGGCGTTTGGACTTACGCAGTCGAGGAAGTCGAGGATGCACTTGGAAATATTATCAACTACATCCCCTCCGATGATGAGGACCGACCAAAGCAGAAGGTCACCGGAATTCAACAGGCCTTCACAGTTCACGAGCGACCCAATGTCTACCTCAAAGGATGCACTCCACAGCAGCCCCTGCAGGTTGCAAAGGGCAACATAGACCGCCTCCCCATCAAGTATGGTTCAACCGGAAAAACTGCGATTGATGGAGCCCACACCATCGAATACCTCTTCACAGCTGGAGCAGATCTTACTTCAGATGGAGATCATAGTCCGAACGCAGAGCTGAAGAAGCAGACCATGAAGACTAATCGAGAGCAGCCGCTTATCTCAGCGAGCGGTCTGTACACCATAAAGTCCGTCGCCACTGAATTCTGCGGGGGCGAGGTTCTCGAGCCTGCCTCATGCTTACTCCAGAACCCTCCGGAACCAGAGCTGTACCTATCAAGCGAGGATATTGTGGATAAGTGCGCCGGCAATCCAATCGGTCTGCGCGTTGGCTTGGATCTTATCGGTACCCCACCTTTTACCATCCGCTATACAGAGCAAAAGAAAGGTCACCGAAAGTATCCACGCGTTACCACCGTTACTGCGTTGAGGAGTACTATCGATTTAACTCCAGACGAGGCAGGCCACTACTCCTATACTTTCGATTCCATCACAGACTTTGTTTACAAAGAGCGCGCGTTACATAACCTCGTTCTGCAACAGGACGTGAAGCCTTCGGCATCCGCTCATTTCATTGAAGGAAATGAGTCGAAGAAGGCTTGCATTGACGACTCTGTGGAATTTGACGTCAAACTTCAAGGAGAAGGTCCATGGAAGCTAGAGTACGAATTGGTCCACAACGGAAAGCGTACCAAGTACGCCACCAACGTGGAGGAGGAACATTACACTATAAAGACCCAGAAGCTGAACAATGGCGGCGAATATACCGTATCGTTGGCCAGTATTACTGACAAGATGGGGTGCAAGGAATTCCTGAGCCAAGGGGTGAAAGTCAATGTCCGCCATGAGCGTCCGAAGGCCTATTTTGGACACATCGAAAGCAAACAAGCCGTCAGAGCGCTTGAAGGAAAGGATGTGGGACTTCCCCTGCGTCTTACTGGTGAAAAGCCTTGGACGTTGGAATATGAGAATATTGATACTGGAGACGTCAAGAAGACAACCGTTTACAGTGCTAACGACAAGATCGATATCAAGTCTGCAGGTACCTATCAGCTCTTGTCTGTTAGGGACTCGATATGCCCTGGCGTGATTGACGAGAAGGCAAGCCGGTTTGATGTTGCATGGATTCCTCGGCCAAAGATCAGTGTTGCCGAGTCCGCAACGATGGTTCGTGAGGGAGAAAGGTTCATCAAAGAGGCTGTCTGCGAGGGTGACGAAGATACTTTTGACGTCCTTCTGAGTGGTAAGTGTGCCCACCTCCTATCCGATACCTGATAAACTAACAGTATCTCAGGGAACCCCCCCTTTGATGTCTCGTACCAACGGCGTTTAATGGACAAGAAGAACGGAAACACTGCTGCTCTTACACCGAAGGAACTTCGCGCCGTAGGTGGCGCCACGTCTATCCGCGCAGAAACGTCACATGCCGGCACGTACGAGTATAAATTCATTCAGCTTGCCGATAGCAAGTACGACCATTCTTCCAAGCACTTTGCCCCCCTTACCGTACAACAAACCGTCAATCCACGACCAAATGCTCGTTTCAACAACCCTGGAAAGACATATAGCTACTGTTCACGTGAAGCAGATGGTGAAGAAGTCATCCCAATGACCTTTGAGGGCGTACCACCCTTCTACCTCGAAGTTGAGATCAAGCACCACGGCACGCCGAAACCAGAAATCAGCATTCACAAGAACATCCAGTCCCTGAAATACGACCTTAAAATCGAGCATCGCAAGCTACATCTCGGACACTCGGCAATATCCATCCGCAAGATCCGCGATGCGAGGGGTTGTACCCGGAAGTCTACGCCAGGGGGTCCAAGAGTGCAAATCAGTGTCCACGACGCCCCAACTGCTACCGCCTTAGAAGATCGCATGGATTTCTGCGTGGGCGAAAGATTGTCCTTTGCACTGGGTGGTCAAGTACCGTTTACAGTATACTACACCTTCGAAAAACAAGAACGCAAAGCTTCAAACTCTGGCACCACCTTCCGTCGTCTCGCCGAGCTCCCTGGATCTTTCACCATAACCGGTCTCCGAGACTCTGCATCCGAGTGTCTAGCCTCCCTTAATTTAACCAAGGAAATCCATCCCATACCTTCGGTCCGTCTATCCGGTGGCCTCGTCTCTGAAGTTGATATTCATGAAGGTGGAGGCACGGATCTGGAGTTCCAATTTTGGGGTACCCCGCCTTTTGAGTTCACATATACGCGGAGTACAAATGCGCAGAGGGGCCGTAAGAGTAAGGTATTAGAGATTAGGACTGAGGTCTCGCATGAACACCACATGGGTATTCCCGTGCAGGAAGAGGGAACGTACGAAGTTGTGAGCATCAAGGATCGGTGGTGTAGTTTTACGAAGGTGGTTGAAGGGGTGGATGGGAAGGTTGGAACTGGAGGACAGAAGCTATTGACATATTGATAGGGATGGCATTGGTATGGAGAGGAGACGAATGGGGGAGTGCATTTTTCGGTGTTTGGGAAAGAGGTTGTGGTCATTGATCTTTTTTTTCTTTCGGTCTTTGAAAAAGAAATATGGTTCACTTTGTAGTGGAATTAGCATAAGATTTCCTTGGGATTGTTAGCAGTTGACGCGTCAGTCAGTCAGTAATGCGGAGTTGATACCCAATACCGTTATTGATTAGGGAGTGACTTGCTTCTTCATGAAAGACCATCAATCGCAGCACCAGTGGATATTAAAGCCAATGTTGAAAGGGGCTATTCGAAATCTTCGACACAGTTAAGTTCAACAAATAGAGACAGCCATCACTAGAGAGCTCCCTATCACTTCAACTTTCAGATCTGAGGATGTACCAATTTAACGAGTGCCAACAGAAAAGCTATGTACCATTATTACGGAGCGGCTCCAACAGGCCGAAGACTATGTATGACAAGCAATCACCAATCAAGGCCATCATTCCCTTTCACAACGCCTTTTCTACCCCCTCTCTTCGTAAGCTTGTCATTCAGCCCATCGAACTGACCAGGCGTCTCTCCATTCCTGACCTTCCATTTCTCAGTACCAAGCACGCTATCAAGCTCCTCCACAGAAGGTAGTTGTGCGTATATCCAGCCGTCACCTCTCTCCTCGACCTCAAAAGTATAAATGCTCATATCATCATTCCCACACTTTCCAGCGTCCTGCCCTGTCAACTCGAAATTGCGTTTATGGAGCGGACACGAAACCCAGAGTTTGTCATCGCCTTCACCGATGAGGCCGTCGGATAGCACGAACGCGCGTTTGTGTGGACACATTTGTTGCGTGCAATAGTACTTCCCGCGGATTTTGAAAACAGCGAGCTGCGTTCCTCCGCGCTTGACTTGCTGGCTATCGCCAGTGTCGAGGTCGCTGAATTTCGATGCCTCCACCAGCGGCTGCCAGGACAGACTAGTCCAAGTTGTGGTGGAGTCGATTTTGGCGGGTTCCTTTGGCCAGTTTGATGGGCGCTGTTGCCCACGCTCTGTCATTGGTTCCACCCAGTCAACGGTTTCATTGACGTTGGCGAATTGCTGGAACTGTTTCCGTCGTTCGGGGTTCTTGACTGTCTCGGTCCATTCGCAGAAGAAGGACGAAACAAGTTCCTCCATTTGTCGTTCTAGTTCTGAGCATATTCCGAGCTTATCGTTCAGAATTACCTCTCGTAGGTATTTAATACCACCGGGAAGCCCCTCGATCCATCTCGCGGTCCGCTGAAGCCGGTCGGCGGTTCGAATGTAGAATAACAGATATCGATCCAAAATAGGCAGCACGTCATCAACAGGGACGTCTTTTGCCAATATCTCCGAGTGTCGAGGTGTAGCTCCGCCATTCCCACCCACAAAGATAGTATATCCTTTTTCTGTGGCGATCAACCCGAAATCCTTGTTTTGGGCCTCTGCGCACTCTCGCACGCACCCAGAAACGGCACCTTTAATTTTGTGTGGCGCCCGGATACTCTTATATCGTTCCTCGATCCGGATAGCCATGCCCACGGAATCGCCAACTCCGAAGCGACACCATGTAGTACCTACACAGCTCTTCACCGTTCGTAACGCCTTAGCATAGGCGTGGCCACTCTCCATTCCGCCTTCTTCGGACAATTGGGTCCAAATAGCCAACAGATCTTGCTTCTTTGCACCGAACATGTCGATTCTTTGCCCTCCTGTAATCTTGCAGTATAGGTTATACTTTTCGGCGACCCTCGCAATAACAGCTAGCTTCTTAGGGGTAATTTCACCACCGGGGACGCGAGGGACTACGGAGAAGGTACCATTACGCTGGATATTTGCAAGGAATTTGTCGTTGGTATCCTGGAGGCCCTTTCGGCCTGGATCGAGAATATGGCTGTTGAACAGAGACGCCAGTATTGAGCCAATTGCCGGCTTGCAGACCTCACATCCGAGCGAGCCTGGTATGCCGCATTCGGCCATGATGGCCTCGAAGGACTCGAGCTTCTTGACCATGGCCATGTAGAAAATATCGGCTCGGGAATGCTGGAAATGAGGACACAAGTGGTTCTGAACCTCCTCACCACTGTCCTTCATGGTCTTGGTGAAGATGCTTTGCACAAGTGGTAGACAGCCTCCACAGCTTGTCCCAGCTTTAGTGCATGATTTCACATCGCCAATGCTCTTGCATGAGTTCTCTTTGATCGCCGTGGTAATGTCCCCTTTAGTGACGTTGTTGCACGAGCAAATCTGCGCATCATCATCTCTATAGAACCAGTTAGCAAGAGTCGGATATTAGATAGTTGGTTGCTGGCACCATACAGATCATCGGCACCTTCATCGCCTCCTGGCTTTCCAACAATCAATTCTCCTGGAGCAACTTCGAGCTGCTTGTGCCGTTTGCTAATAGCCAAGAGTTTGACGTAGTCAGCCGCATCGCCCATCATCATTCCACCGAGTAAGTATTTTCCGTCAAGGGTGAACAGATATTTCTTGTAAACATTACCGAATGGATCTTTGTAAGTCAATGCCTGGACTTGATCTTTCCTGTCTGGTCCAGACGTTCCATCTGGCAACCACTTAGGGCCAAAGACGTCGGCAAAGGGATCTCCAAAGCTGGCAACATCGACCCCCAAAAGTTTCAACTTGGTGCTCATATCAGGGTCAGTGAAGGATCTCGGTTGGTGATGAATCCTTCCCTCTGTCAAATTGAAAGCAAGAAGGTCGGCCATCTCATATCCAGGACCGACCAAACCGTAGCACATATTCTTCCAATTCGCACACTCGCCAATTGCGTAAACATCCTTCGCTGTGGTTTGCAGGTCGTCGCCAACCAGAATTCCACCTCGTTCATGGCATTGAAGGCCAGACTTTTTAGCCAGGTCGTCCCTAGCTCTGACACCAATCTGCGACGTACTTTAGGTTTTTTTTCAAGTGAATAAAAGAGATTACGGAAACTTACTGCAAAACATACGCAAGAACCTTCCACTATACTCCCGTCTTTAAACTCGACGCCGGTGACGCTGCCGTCCTCAGCAGTAGTGAGTTTGCCGACCATCTTTCCTAGGACCACTTCAACCCCCAAGCCTTTCACTTGTTCGACAACCATCATTCCCGAATCTTTGTCAAGCTGGCGACCAAGCACGTAAGGCATCGCTTCGATGACGGTGATTTTGTCATACACCTCCAAATCCAGCATTGCCTTTGCAGCCTCCAGGCCAAGAAGTCCTCCGCCGATCACAACTCCATTTTGGCCTGTGCCCTTCTTTGCGGCGGAAAATGAAATGAGGTTCTGAAGATCCTCAATAGTGCGATAAACGAAAACGCCCGTAGCATCGTATCCGGGCATGCGTGGAAGGATCGCCGTGGATCCTGTGGCTAGAACCAACTCATGATAACTGAATTTGTCGCCTGTGGCTGTTGTTATTGTTTTGTTGTCTGAATCGATCCCTGTGACCGCTGTATTTATGTGGTAATTGAGCGATCCGTTTGGCATCGAAGTGTACTGTAACTGGTAAATACACAGTCTCCAATTGTGCAACAATCTCTTACCCATTCCTCTGGATTCATGTACAGTCGCTCCACATCTCGGTGCTGGAAGTAGCTGCTAAGGCCAACTCGGTTGTAGGCTAGATGAGGTTCTTCCCCGATGACAACAATATCATACTCCCTTCTCTTTGCATCTAATTTCAGAAGTTTTTCACTACCATTCCGTCAGAGATGATGAAACTTTGCGGGGATAAACTTACATGAACGAGATTCCAACCATTCCCAGCCCGACAACCACGATCCTCTTCCTATTATTAGGTTCGCATTGTATCTCTTCGACAGCAGCCATCTCGTCCACGATTTCCCAGGGTCGGGAATTGCTGACAAGCACTAGTGGCGATGATGATAACTAGATGAAGGTGGGGAGTTAGGAAAGTGGAAATACAACTTAGGAAATCAAGAGAAGATCTTGGAAGTTAGGCAAGATAAAACCACCAAGATTACTAGCGCATCGGATGATTGAACCAATTGTAGATCCTCTATTTCCATGCAGATCCTCCCCCACGAGGCAAAAGCAGGCTTTCCTACGTGTCTTTGGCTGTTAATACGCATGACATTGAGGGTTTTAAATCCCGACGGCGCAACTTCAAAAGTAGCGTGATGGTGCTGGAGAATGAGTGGGAAGAGCCACTTCTCCGGGGAAATGGTCAATGTCGGAAAGAAAACGTAATATAGGGTTGTCGCTTATCAATTCTCCGAGGAGATGCCTTCACCTCTTCATGAATTTAGGAAGGCAAGGGCACGACGAAAACAACGTGGAAAGTGGTCTTGTCACTGAATAAATGTGCTTGAGCATGATTGAAGTTGGGAAGTACTTCAGACGTTTTCAGTTAGCCGAACAGCGCGATTGGTTAATAGACTCAAGCCCTTTTAGACCAACAAACTAAGCGATTATGAGCAGAAAGGGTGCCCTGAGAAGAGAATGAATTCAACAAGTCTTAGCCAGCAGCAAGAAAGGGATTTCTACATAATGGCGGCGCCACTATTGGCAAGAGTGGGCCTAGGTCGATGAGCTGTAGAAAAATTTAGCTTACATGAAAAGAAAACATGGACGCTAGGGTCCAAACACAATATGTTGGTGATTTAGTCGAGCGGTAAACAACACACCAACCTGAACTCTCCGGAATATCGACTGGTAAGTATGGCCGTGTCCGGCCCGGTACTTGCAGTGTATGAGAGCATGAGTATCAAGTGCCCAGAAAATTGTAACAAGTTCCCCTGGCCGAACTGACAACCTCCATAAAGGACGTCGATAATTACATCAATGCTTGTGCGAAGGAGGTGAAAAAGACATACCTAAGCTGCCAAAAGACCAGTATGAGGCAATAAGAAAAGCGAATCCGAACAGCGCTCCTCCTAACCTATGCCGCACTGAGCCCTCAAAAGACTGGGTCGCCACCCATAACGTTCCGATTGAGTAGGACGTTAGAGTTGGTACACACAGCAGAGGCATGTTGTTCCCTGAAATCTGCTTGTGGGGGTGGTAACCTCGTCTAGATTTCTGTTATTGGAGACTGACTACAAGGCTTTTGTGCTATCTCTAAAGTCCCGAATGTGTGTCATGCTTGGCTGACGAAAGAGTTTAGGGATAGTAAACACTTAGACGTGGCTCGCGGTCCCATTAAGCTAGTGGAGGTTACTGATTAGCTGTTCCACAGTATTTGTCCTGAGGGTAACTGTCGGGGAGGCTGGTTGTGGATTGTGACAATGGCGCGGAGATATCTTGATCATAGTTACGAGGGCCTGTGTGGGTGTCGTCGAAATCGACAGTAGTGAATAAAGTATGGGGCGGATGTCAAGCTAACGCTGCTTTGCGCCCTATGAGTGGAGGGCTGTAGTTTCGCCGCGGACACTCGCATCTTCGTGCTAAGTCTCCTCTAGTGCCTTGACCTGAGTTTCTTGTATTCAAATCTTAATAGCATCCTGTTGTGCATCAGTGGGTGAGGCAGTGAATATATATTCTGGGACCTAGATAGGCAGCTGTATCGGAGGGCAGGCCAAACCCATGTCCTGGTCTGAATTTTCAGTGTGTGGATCCGACATCCGGACAATTTCGCCTTATCTTCTTCATGATAGAGTGGCCTTCCAAATCCTTACAATTTGTAACTTCTCCCACCCAGCTTTGCTCCCACTTATTCCTACAGTCTCGGCCATCCAACCAGGGCCCCAATCTTTAATACGTTGTTTAACCACTTCTGGTTTGTTTTGGGCACATAATAATAGGTATGCAACCCCCCTCAACGGATTCAGGATGTGTGGTATCTGCTCGAGCATTCGGTTTGTGACCTCCATTCCATCTATACCCCCAGCATATGATAATTCGAGGAGATACGAGTCTTGCTCGAATGATGTCGACTTTTGACCTGCTAGTATGGTATTATAATTGTCGTGGCGAGAATAGTCGGGAAGCTTGGCAGGTACGTAAGGTGGGTTGAATATAAACACATCGACTAAGTACGGCCGAATTGCGCATGCCAAGTCTCCATTGACAATATCGAGAAAGACTGATTCGCTAGGGTTGTGTATGGCATTTTGCACGGTTTGAGAAGCTGCTTGACAGGCGAAGCTGTTTATGTCAGTTCCGAGAGCCAGCACATCATCTCGACCAAATATTGTTTTAGCATTGGCCGCAACAAATGCGAGGACAACCCCAGAACCTACCCCGACTTCGAGTACCAGCGGTGAGGTCGAGCATGGTTCTAGCTCGGGGGTGGTCTGCCTAAATCTATCGTGAAGGAAAGCTGCCTCCGAAAACGACGATATCGTGTCGAGAAGTAGAAAGGAGTCTTCAGCTGGCTCATAAACGCGATCGAAGCATACGTGGGAGGTCGAAGGAGTTGGTAGCATCGTGTGTGAAGGATAAGGTTGAAGGACAGTACGGCGGACGTCCAATGAGAGTGCGTCAGTGGGCCTTAGTCAAATCGGTGTCATCATCACCGAGGTTGTGAATTTTCACAATCACCTCATCGCACCCTTCTTTCTTTCAATTGACCAAAATCAAAACAACTAGACAGGATGAGAATCTACAGCAGACTGCTTGCAACAGCCGCAGATGCTGGTGCAGCTAGACCCTTCAGAGCTGTTCCAATGGCTCTTTTGCCCCCAATTCCGCTTTATCGACGCCTCCTGCGGGCCCACCGAAGAAAGCTGCCAACAGAGGAACGTTTGCTTGGCGACTTGTATGTTAAGGCCGAGTTTCGAGCTCACAAGGACATCGATAATCCCATACAAATCGTAAGGCGTTGCCTTTAGGCTGCCAAGGACCCTCCCACTGAAACCTCGCAGGTTGGGTTTCTCACAGAGTGGCAATTGTATGCCCAGCAATTAGAAGGCGATTCCTGGAAAGATGCCAGGATGGATAAATCGAAGATTGACAAAATGAGTGGTGCGTTCATTCTCTGCCTGTCATTACTCTCCACTCAAAGCATTCGCCATTCGAAGGCGGAAGCCACATCCGTGACCACCAAACTGATTCTCACACCCAGACCAACAAATCGGCCAATTATACGAATTGATGCAAGCCATTCGCAAGCAAGAGCTGGAAGATAACGATCCAGAGTACAAGCCCGCTCAGTGAGGCTCTGTAAGTGAATTTACAGCGGGTATATCTACAATTGTCTGATTGTATTCTTTCACAGGCACCACAGGCAGATGACATGATACAATCTTGCGCATTCAGTCACTGACATTACCACATCATTAAGCAGTGACCTTCGCCGAGTTTGCAGAGGAAGGCGATTCGTTATGTGAATCTCTCATCAGCGTCTTCATCGAGAATCATTCGTACTCCAAGAATAAGGCTCGCAAAGCCATCTAATAGTAGAATCCTAAGCGATACAACTCTGGGTCACGACTACCTCCACCCTTCCTTCTCTTCAGAGCCACACTTTCTTCGCCAACCAACTCCTTCCACTTCGAATTCCCAGCACACTTTCCAATCCAACTAATCAGCCAACCCAGAGCCAACACCAATCGGCTTTCCTTTATCAACTCCTCTTTTCGGTGGCCTTTCCACTGCGCTGTTCCACTAGCTCTCGGGATGTGTAGATGTGTGCAGTACAATTCGCCAACCTGCTGGCACTCCTGGCTGTCGTTGGAAGAACCCTGTGGGTCCGGCAAGGATCTCCTTTCCTGCCCCATGTTTCACGAAAGCGCCCTCCACAAGATTAAGGAGCTCCCTCCCTTTGGTTGCAAAAGGGCGCCGAGGTATTGCTGTCCTTGGTGCGATAATGCATTCCAAGACCCGCGGACGAGTCGAATGATTGTAAGGGAGAAGACGAGGAGAAAGAATCCGTTTCGGGATATCCCACCACCGCCGCGGACCACGAAATATTTCAAGCATCGTGAGACAGTTTATGAGCAGAGGGGCTCTCCTATCTGCTGTACCGTAATGTGAACTCGAGTTAGGAACGACACACAAAAAGATATGGATCACTACGAAAGTGTATTTGATTTCATGTAGATGAATGGTTTTGATGTACTGATTCTCTCAAGGCATGCAGCTATCAGTCGTAATTTAATGTTGGCGGTGTCTGTTCCAATTACTCAGTGCTTGGGGTGGAAGCGTTAGCGGCAGCTTGTTCTGTGCTGTCATGGAGCATTCACTCGTTCTCTGGAGGAGTTTGATTGACGGATTTATATAAAGTCTCATGTACCAAACACATATACGGGAGTACCTTCCGACTTCGCGCAATGTTTTATGATCAATTTGGCGAAGACAATGAGTAGCCAATCAGAGGGAGTCCCGGGCTCGGGACTTGAATTGGGTGTTGCCGACCCGCCAGCCCCGCGAAACACCAGACACGTCAGGGAGCATGAAGAGCTTCTCTCTTGTACTCCGCTCCTCCGTTATATCACATTTCCGCTGGACGGATTACGTCCGCTTCGCAGGGTAGAGAGTCCCAAAAGAGCAACGTTGCAACAAGTCTAGCAAACCTGTCCTCAAGCAGTTATTAGGCACCCGTGGGGTAGAAGAGCCCGAACGTCACCGATAACAGCTCCACAACCTACCAGGAATCCTCACGACACGCGCAACACTTCGCGTGCAGCTCAAATATCAACATGACGAACTTTATGGAGAACCTCTGGGAGTCCATCTTTACCGCTGGTCCGACTCCCACCCTCCTCGTCGCAACAAATGCGTCATTCGCAGCGCTCCAGGTGCTCTTCTTCATCCTGCTCATCGCAACCTACAGCGTGCACTTCGTCATCCTCTCCGGCCTCACCGCAGGTCTGTGGTGGGCAATCAACTGGTTTGCCGCCGAGATCCGCGCCGCGCAAGCTAAAGAAGAGGAAGCTAAAAGGATCCGCGATGCGAGACGGGAGAAGGAGAAGGAGAAGAAGGGTGTAAACGCCGGCCAAAGTGAGGGAGAGGCCATGGATACGGGAGATGATACAGAGGTGGACACAGAGGTGGAGGAGAAGTACAAACCGAAGACGGCAAGCCGGGCGCCGCGCCCGGAGACGCAGAGTACTGTGTTCGTGGAGAGGCCAACGCAGTCAGGAGGAAGGGGAGATACGCCGGTCCCACGAGCTCCAGCGCCAGGTCCCGCGGCCGCGAGCACCACAGGTGCGACTACCAAGCTGGCGCCGCTGGTGGACGATGCGCTGAAGAAAAGGCGGCCTGGGAGCATGGGAGAGTCAACGGGCGAATTGAGCACGGATAGCGAGTGGGAGAAGCTGTCTCAAGACTCTGGCGAGAGATGATAGCCTATTGGTGTCTCGAATACCCTGAAATAGCTCTCTGCACGGTTGCTTGTTCACAACTTGTCTTATTCTTCCAACAGAAGCCCATATCGTGTTCAATTGCAGATTAATTTCAAGTGTCCGATGCAATGCACGTGACGACGCGATGCAGCAGCCAGCCCTACCTGGTGGTGCGACATGTGTCGATACTCGCACGCAGTCAAAAGCAAACTAATAAAACAACAGCTTCCTTAGCCTCTAGCACGCGAGAAGTTTATCTGAGCAGGAAAAGCCTTGAAGGTCGTCGCCTGACGCCCAACATAACCTGGCTCGTGCATCCCACTCCAAGCTTGCCTTGGGTGCCCCGCGACAAGGCAGGCGCCAAAAACCATCACCGTACCCGGATGCGTGAAACAACGAACGGCGAGTGTGAATTGCCATCGCACAAATGAAACTCCATCGCCTCCTCCCATGTCGGTAGTCGCTCCTGCTCTTTGATGAGCACTCTCGCCCTTGTTCCATCGACGCCACCCGCTCCTCACCCCGCCATACCTGCCCGCCTGCTTCATCATGGCATCAGTAGGCGCTCCCTTGAGCATCGAGGACATTGTCGAGCAAGCGGCCAACTTCCAGTACAATGTTCACATCCCGCTGCGGTACTGGCTCCGCACTGCCGACACTATGCAGAAGGAGGTCGGTTGCTTTGACCTGTCCGGCGTTTTCTAGCTCACTCCTCGCAGGCCCAAGTGTATGAAGCAGAAGGCAACAATGTCCAGGCCTACCTCCTTCTCTACCGCCACGCACAGCTAGTGCTCAACCACCTGGAACAGCATCCCGAGGTGAAGTTGCCCGAGAATAAGAAGGGCATGGCATTGGCTCGGGCCGCTGTCAACGGCGATTTAACCCAACTTGAAGTTCTGGCGCCACATATTAGGAAGAGGCATGCGGAATTTTTGGAGAGGCGCCGGGTACAGCAGGAAGCCCTGGAATCACTAGAGGGTCGGGGGGAGAGGCTGCCACAAGAGCTAGACGGGCTTTCGCTGCATCCGGGAGCGTCTGGGAGGCGACCATACGAAAAAACTAAGCTTGATGCCGGAGAGCACCGGTCACTGGCGGCTAAGCTTGCACAGAGAGAAGTCCGTCGGAGAGATGCAGCCCGGAGGAGTGTGCGGCAAGCCGGGGTGTCAGAAGAGCAGGAGCAGGAGAGGCGAACAGGTGGTGTATGGGGAGAGTGGGAGAAAGAGCTGCGTCGGGAGAGCGACGAAGTCGATGACGACCTCTCCAGGCAGATCCAGGAGGTGGCTCGTATGCAGAATGGACACATGCCGCCGAACTTCTCAGTAGGTCACGGGCTGTTGCAACTGAATCCTTCGCTAACCTGGACAGCGCCCTACGTCTTATCAATCTCCAACCAGTCCCTACCATTATCCGGCGGTGCCACATAAAGCCCAAGAGCGGTGGTCAGGCTCAGACTCAAGACTGCCGTCTCAGGGTACAGCTCCCGCTAGACCACCGAAGGAGCTCCTCCGAAGACCATCAGACTCCTCGACGCGACCTCCCGCTCTTCCTCCTAAACCTCCTAAACCACTGACATCTTCACTCCCATTCGAGAATCCTCGGCCTCCGCCAATACCTGGAAAGTATCGGGATGCCGAACCCACCCCACCGCCTCTCCCCGGTAAATACCACGCCCACTCATCAGTCTCCACACTACGGCCCTCATCGCCATCCGCAAGCTCAAAAGAAGACCTTGACGAGTTCCTTTTCAAACCCTCCGCCTACCTCGAAAACGGTGAACCCCTTCGCACAGTCTTCCTCCCAAATACCCTACGTCAAGCGTTCCTCTCCTGCGCCTCCAAAAACACACGACTCAATCTCGAAACCTGCGGCATCCTCTGTGGTATCCTCAAATCCAACGCCTTGTTCATCACTCGACTCGTCATCCCTGAACAAACCAGTACGAGTGATACTTGCGAGACGGTTAATGAGTCGGAGTTGTTTGATTATTGTGATAAGGAAGAGCTGATGGTGCTGGGCTGGATCCATACCCATCCGACCCAGACGTGCTTTATGAGCAGTCGGGATTTGCATACGCATGTGGGTTATCAGGTCATGATGCCGGAGAGTATTGCGATTGTTTGTGCGCCGAGTAAGGAGCCTAGGTAAGCCACTCTCACCCCACTTTCTACCTTTCACTACCCACCCTCTACCTTCCTTTATCCTTTCTCCCTTTTTCTATCTGCCAAGGCTTTCAACACTTCGTGTGCTGACATTGCAACTAGCTGGGGTACTTTCCGCCTCACTGATCCTCCCGGCAAAAATGTAATACTGAATTGCAATCAACCCGGCATCTTTCATCCCCACAGCGTCGACAACATATACACGGATGCTTTGAACCCTGGACATGTTGTCGAACTTCCCCAAGCACCGTTAGAGGTGGTGGATATGAGGCCTAAGATATAAAGAGTCGACATCCGTTTTGTAATGATTCAAAATATATATTCAAAGGAAGGCAACCCGGGCAGGGTATCGCATCTCTCCACGTATGGATTAGTGCTTATTTGGGATAATAGGATGTATGAGGATATGAGTAACATGGGTTGTCTTGCATAGCGAGGCGTTGGAGGAATTCTTGGATACTACTACTAAGGACAGGTATTCATTAGTATATGTATGATGCTGCTCTAGGATATCATGCACACTGAACCATATTTGCTAGTAAGCTTAAAGATGCTAGCAGTAGATCTACAAGTGGAGATTCGTCATCACTCCTACAACTTTTCCTTATCAAGTCTGTCTTCTTCCTAATTTGCGTTTACGTTTGCGTTCGTTTCACGTCCTTCTCCTCCCACACACCCGGTCTACCTTCTCTTTCTTCAAACTCACTTCCACTCCCCAAGTACAACCCATTTCCTAATTCCATCCTCTAAGTCGTCAGTCTAAAAAGCGGATGATCATCCCCCAAATTGTCCGCATCCACATCACTCAACCTCCCATCTCTCTCTCCCCTCTCCCTCTTCCGATTCTCCCACTTCACAAACACAAACATCGCCGTACAAGCAGCGCCACATATCCACAACATCCCTAAACTCACCCCATACCCGGTTCTATATGTCGGTTTCTCCGCATCCAGAAACACATTACTCGCAACAATACCCCCGATATTGCCAAACCCTACTTGCATGGCAGAGGATACTGAGCGTTTGTAATGCCCGGAGACGAGGTTGGACAGCCAGACTAGGGTGATGGGTTGGGCTATGTAGCCGCCGGGTACTATGAGGAAGAGCGCGAAGTATTTTACGCCGGAGGAGAGGTGTTTCTGGGCAAGGAGGAGGATGTAGCCGATGGAAGAGATGGTGAGGCCGAGGATGCAAAAGGCGTAGCGGTGGCGGGCTCGGTCCGTAACCCAGGCAGTAATGAGAGCAGTGACGGTAGCCACGACAAAGATAGGGATGCTGCGGACCTAGGTTGGGGTGCGAGTCAGTAAGATGCTTGATGCCAGCGCACAACACCAAGCTCGTACGAGTAGGTCGAAGGGTGGGTCGATGGATAGATCCATGGACGGATGAAAGGATAAACAGAACAGAAACCTCAGACAAACATACCTGTGCCGCTGCGCTCGTATACCCCAACTCCTTCACAATCGTCGGAATAAAAAAACTCCCCGCATACCCCGTATTCACAATTCCAAAATACGCCAAGGTACCCAGATAAATCTTTGGATCCCTAAATATCCTCCTCACTGCCCTCTTATCCAGACGGTTCATAACCGCATCCCCACTATCAGCCGACAGTCGTGCGATGAGCAGAGCGCGCTCATCGGGGGAAAGGAAAGATGCGGTTTCCGGCCAGTCCACGACCCACCATTTTGCGATGAGGCCGAGGACAACGGTGAGGAGCCCTTCGAGGATGAAGATCCAGCGCCAGCCGCCGTAGCCGCGGATTCCGTCCATTTTGGCAATGGCATAGGCGAGGAGGCCGCCGAAGCCGCCTGCGATGATGGACGCGGCGAAGAAGAGGGTCAGGCGCCATTGGAGCTCGTACCGTTTGTAGTACATGGAGATGAGGTAGACACAGCCTGGGGTTGATCAGTGTCTATTTCCAATGGGAACTGAAATATTAGGGAGAGCAGAAGACGCACCAGGAAATAAACCGGCTTCGAAGAAACCGAGGAGGACTCTCATGGCGATGAGGCCGCCGAAGGTATTGACAAGGCCCATTCCAATGGTACAGATACCTTCAATATGTTAGCTAGTGTTCGGAAAGCTCCGAAATTTTTTGCTCACCCCAAAGAACCATAATGAGAGATAGCCATGTGGAAGGTGCAAGCTTCTTAATAATGAGATTCGATGGGACTTCAAAGAGAATGTACGGAATAAAGAACACAAAGAGTGCAATATTATAATCCGATCCGTGCATATTGAGGTCTTCCGTGAGTCCTTGGATGCGCGCATTCCCTAGATATCCGTCAGTAAAGCTATTCGAGAGTCTTAGGACAAGGAGAGAAGAGAATACATACCTATATTCGTGCGATCAAGAAACGCCAGTAAGAAGAGAACAAAAAGCGGAGGAAGGACATAAAGATCGCATTTCCGCAACAGCTTCTTCTCCGCTTCTGCATCAATGTTCGCTCCAGCCGTATCGTTAATAACCTCAATCTTCTCGTCCGGAAAACTGACTGGTTCCTTTTCTACCATGACGGATGGTGGCAATGATGTGCTGGGAAAACTGTGGTCGAAGTCTAAGACTGAAAAATTTAGGATCGCGAGAAAGCGCACGCGGTGATAGGATCCTTATAGAGGATCGACATACTACTGAGTGCAGTTAGTGACACCAATCAGCGGGTAGTACACGTGCCGGTTTTGCTACCCTTGTACCCCGGATTTCGGATGCTAGGATGGTGAGGGGAAGCTGGGGAACGGGTGTGGGGAATCAATTCCGCACCTCTTTCCGCGTTGAGGGAGGGTATGCTGAATCAAGATTAAGCTTGGGTTTGGGCGTAGGTTCTGACTCGGTGGTTTCGCTAGGATGAATGGATTTTGTGAGATGGAACAGATCCGACAACGCACCGTGAAGCTTTACAGAAGTTCCCGAGGTCTGGAAACGGGGGCAGTACCATCAAGGTGGTTCCAACCCGACCAAGTGTTTAGACAAGATTGCCTTCCCTTGTAGCTAGATTTAAGTATGCAAGTACTATCCCTGGATATGTTCCATTTTCTGGTCTAGAAAGTTACTGCAAACCAGAGGGCTTTACGATGGGCTGCCCAATCAACTTTGGGCCGAGGGTCCCACAATAACTATATAAATCATGTAGCTCCTCGGAACCTTAGTCCACAATACATGACTCCTCTCATAACACGTGTGGCCCTTCCAAGGTACAGTTACCCTTGTTCTGCTAACCCAGTCACGAGAGCTCGGCCTGTTCGACTCGGATGCAGGGCATGCCTGACCGAGTCCATGCCATTTCACCCGAGGTAGTCTTTCTTCAATTATACATGTTGATGCCATAGCATAATGGAAAGGTCCTGCGGTCTTACACCAATCACCATCTTCAAATTATACTAGATGCGATGGTACAGTTTCCTAGTATTGCACCAACGCCAATTCTTAAGCTTGAACTTCCTAAGAGGTGAGGGAGAAAATCTTCTTGCGCCGTACACAAAAAAACGACATGCTGCAGGCGTTAGAGATAATGAGCAGAGAATCGCGATTCGTCGGGTCGTGGACTCCACAAGTCCCACTGCATAGGAAGGGTTTCTTTGCCTATTCTGGAGTAAAGGATTTCGGTTGAAAATGTCTGAGTTGGATTTAGGTTCTCAGCCGTGGCTGAGGAGTATTTCCTGATGAAAGATTCCATTATAGGGAATTCGGGTGAGATTAACTCTCCCTGTGATGGTCACAGGGAAATGAACAGATCTCGACCTTATTATCATCCAATCGATATAATCCACAGCAACCGCTTTCCTATCGGATGAAACCTTCCCCTTTCAAAGACTCGCATGAATCTGGTTATCTGGATTTTATCGTATTCTACACACTCAATTCCGTAAAATACAGGAGAGGGAGGCCGACGGCAGTTCGGATTTTCTGTCTTGTAACTTGTCACCCGGCTAGCAAGACTTCCTTTGCGGACTTCAAGGAGGGGATCGGGTGCCACCATGATCTTCGCAATCCTACATCCGTGATAATGCTCTTGAATCCGGGTTAGGAAGTACGACGAGCCTCCTATTTCCCCAGTGAGTATTACTTACGCCTGTTTTACGTTACAGTACGACATTTTGGAAACTTGTGGTCTAACAAGCCCCTTAGTCGCTACTTAGAGTTCTCTCAATAACTTTGTGTGAGATATTCGGCTTTCAATCATGCCCAGTGGGCTTGAGAATCCTAAATTAAGCTTATTACACGCATAAGATCTGCGTCCTTAATTGTATATACTTACCTGCTCGTTAAAGAAGTTACCGAGGGTGTTCCTGATAAGGCTGTAAGCCTGGTGGTAGTGCAGCAGAGTGTTGTATTGATGTGGAGTCTCCGGAGCAGCCACGTATATAGAGGTACAGGCACGAGTAGATAGTGGCTTGGCCTGGTTAGAGCGGCTTTATCACTAGAATACCGAGACAAGTTTACTTCAATTTAATCACCTTTTGTGTCATGAAACCATCTCGAATATTACACCACTCAGACTCTTAGGTGGAACTAAGGTCAGGTACTGTAACATGAAAGATCTACGCCTCATCAGGTGAGGGTTCGGAGCCAAATGCGGGCCGGGTAGAATTCCATGCTGTTCTGAGCCTCATTCCAAAGGCTGTTTGCTGTAAACTGGTCAATTCCATTGTGGATGATTTTTCAGCGTATTGCAGTCGCAGGAGAATGAACGCATCAAAAGTTTCGTCCATTCTCATAGAGGAAATACTCAATCCTGAGGATGAAGTAGTCAAGTGTCAGCAGTCTCAAATCTAGGTGTACCCATGATTTAAATGATCTATTCAAGGGTGAGACATCTTTGTGATGAGTACCGCTGATTTGGAAAAGACCGCCATTCTGCTCCAGTTAATAGAGGCATTCCCATTACCGTGGTCATGATTACTGTGAGGACGACTCCCGTTGCAGATGAGGATCAAATCATTGTTCTCGGGAATTTGTGAGCCTTTCATATTCCCTCAGAATGAGAGCGTGCAGCGTTTCCAACAGGAAGTAGTACGATTAATACTTTTGCTCTACCTACAATCACGTAAGGCAAACAAACGTAACTACATTTTTAACTGTTACAATTTAATTAATAAGGCTTAAATGTAAGCAGTATACAATTAAGGTAGAATTTTTTAAGGTTGCAGTCTCTAACGCGCGTGAGGGCTAGAGGAGCGTGTTTGTGCTACTATTTACATGTTAGTGTAGCCTTAGAGCTTGCCCTGTACTACAACAACCTTTTAGACAACCTTATTATAGCAAAAGATGACAGTCCCTTGTATAGGGAACCTCTAGATTAGTGGCTCTAGGTTAGTCAGCGCGACTATCCTGTACTCTTTAAGATAGCACTTAATTTCCACAAGCTGCAACTACAAGAGAGCCTTTAGTAAAAGGAAAAAGATAGTTACTATCTTTTAGGCTCTATAATTAAAGCTTTGCAACTCTAGAAGAACTAGCTACGTTATAAAGTTGTTTTTAGTAAATTAAATAACCTTATGTGCTATATTAAGAGTAAGGGAGACCCTGCTACTCTAAAAGCTTTAACAGTTACATTGTAACTTTTAGTAAAAAGTTAAGAAGTACAAGCAGCTTTATTTAAACTGTAACTTAATTGTATTAACCCCTGCTGTCAGGTGAAGCAAACAAAAGTATATAATAAGTGAGACGTAACTTGTCTAGAAAGCCTGAGTCGAATCGTACTACTTCCTGATGGAAACGCTGAGAGCGTGGGTGCATTGAATACTCTAGGTAATAAATTTGTGGTATGCCCCAACACTGCATTGTTCTCGAACATATTAAGAATAAAATCATTCTTGGGCTCTGAGGAGGATTGGCAAAGCCAACGTACTTAGCAATAGATTAAAAGTACTCCTAGGTATACCATATTGACTAAGGCTCCAGAGGACTCGCGAAATTGTCTTGGGTGTGTTGGTAAACAAAATCTAAGTAAACGAAAGTCTCACCTTCTTATTAGGTAACTGTTAAGTCTTAGTTGAAGTACCATCTATTTAGCATTTTAAACTTCGTAAAGTTTCGGACCTTTAGACGGTTTACGACTTAGAGCCCGCATTCCGTCCAACTGCCTCTTGTCAGGCATACCTTTGAGCGACCCTTGAAACTCCTTCTCCGTAGATTGGATATATTCATCCTGAGCGCGGAAACCCCATGAAATTTCTGTAGCTGAACCGTTGGAATACCAAAGCGTAGTCAGTACATAGGAATCTAAACGTAAGCCTACTTAGTGGTAAAGGTAGACTGAACTTGTGGACTATATCTTATATAGCCATCATCCTACCTGACCATTGCTAGATCGGCTTGATGTCACTGATCCATTCAGAGAAGGGGTAGTATGTGAGAGCGGTGTGTAAATTTTGTATTACGCCCACTGGTTTTAAATGTCCCATATTAAATCTATGGAGCTGGATCACTTGTGAGCCATTCCAAACCCGGTGCTTATCATTAGTTCCGGTCGGCCCAGTTTATGCGTAGATACTGCGGATTCTGGATCCTATCATTTGGAATTTCTATGGACTGCTGTGAATCTGGAGTTCTAGTAGAAAAAGAGCTTCTACAACAACTTGCTTGAAATCTGTATCGAGGCTTTCCTCGATAGAGCGGGAAAGAGCAAAGAGAGAAATCTCTCCTAAATGCTCCAGGAGGGCAACTCTGGGGAGTTTGGAGATAAAGTTCGTTGAGGGAGAAAGGACGGACTACATTTTCGTCTTCATCGACAGGCGGGGCGCTGATGTGCTGCTATGGAACTTATGTAACATTCCTTTACATAGAGCTCAAAAAGCCGCTTCGTAGGAAATCTGCCTTGGTCATGTTCCTCGCAAATCCACCGACACTGATGCATCTGTTGCTCGCTAATGCCCAGTCATGGCGGGTCGTGTATTGCCTGTGCTGGTTTTGCCACTCCGAGAATGTATAAATGTAGGCGCGAAGATCCCTGAAGAAGTGGTTCCAACAGATTCTTGTTAGCTAAAGCTTTATATTTCCTTGCATAGTTCTTTTCAAGGAATGCTTACTTCCAATTGAGACGACCTGATATCCTGAGGGCCTCAAGCTGCTAGCGACAATAGGGACGGGTAAAAAATCCGTCGTCGCTCGCGTCCTTTGGAAGATCAGGCACACGAATAGCACTCTTTTGCCTAATGGTGGACTCTGCATATCTCGTTCGAAGAGGGTATACCTTTGACTAGTAGTCAAAAGCCTCAGAAACAGCGACAGGCGAAAAGCTCTGTTTGGTAGTTGTGGATAGGGAATGTGGCTCTCTATCTCAGCTTCTTGATGTTCGCATATTCTTTGTGTGGGTAAGTCTGCCAGTGGTAGAGGTTCCGAAAGCATGATAAGCACCACTACAGATTTCAAATTCTTCCCCCGGATCTCACCTGCCGCGGGTACACCAGGATGGCAACTCCAATATAACAGCTGTTCACGGCTCCTGGTATCTGATTTAGAAAGCTTGTGGCTCAATAGCTCCAGATTTCTAGATGGAAATGCCCCCACAGCTCTTCGTCACTCAACATCTATGGGATTGACTTCAGGCTCATTACCCTCGATCAGTTGTGGAAAATTCATCCATGTAAGAGCTTTTTTCGACCGGACTGGGGTTGTATTGTTTGAAGTCGGAGATCTTAGGGTCGAATTCATACTTCTCTTCCCAATGGGCATACCTTCTGCGAAGGCCCGGACGACTAAGTAGTGAGAAGAAATGGAATAACAAGCCAATATTCTCAGCAAGATCCCCCACTAGTATGTCAATCCTTGGCCCTCCACTTGGCCTTTTTCCTCTTTTGGATCGTCATATTTTTCATCTTTGGAAAATAGTCTCTAGGCTCTTCATCGGAGTTTGATTTTGTGACAAAACACCTGCTTGATTTTTCAAATTCTTTGACCTCACCGAGACTTGCAATCACTGGAATGGATTAGTAGCCAGCGATAGCTAGAAAAGTCTGTGGTAATGGTTAGTGGAAATGGCCAGCGGCCTTAATGATAGGTCTACCACGATTTAGTATCTCTCGGGCCCTTGAAGAGATACCCTTCAGCTATAGGCGTAGATAACTGAGGCAAGGGCTAGGAAGTTAGATTCATTCATCAGCGGTAAATTTTATCTCCATTCTCCATATCCTCTAAGTCGTCATCTCATTAACTGCCATTGAGACTATATGTACACTATGTGCACTCCTCCCTTACCCTACTACAGCCAAACGTTCTTTCAGTCAGCTTGGGTGATGTAAAGACGTCATTTTTATGTTCACCAAATCGAAGTAGACGTGGAGATTGCAAGAGTTATCTTGAACAGGATATCCTTAATCTTCTAATCCTCAGATAATTACTAGAGGGTCTGAAATTCCGGTAAAGACTACCAGCAATGAGGCGACTGGTAGCGGCGACCAGCATGGATTTTTTCTCTAGAAGCAACAACTCGATACTACACTGGTAAATCTTGGAATGCTCGCCCTTTCTAGGGCTGAACTTGAAGAAGTGATGAGGATCTAGGATCCAGAAAAATATGATATGTTCATGTAAGTTATAGAAGGTATGGAAGGAAATGTTTCTAACTTGATAGAAAAGCTGGATATCGACGCGAAAGGAAAGGTAGGCGACCTGTTCTCAACCATTTCATCATGTCACCTCTCTCTCCTACATATCATTTTTCTGTTTCCTTTGAGAATTGTTGCTGGCTTGTAGCCCAAGTGGTCGGAAGCATCCCTGGATCGAGTGAAATGGGATCGGCGTCGAGTCTGTAAAGGGTTGGAGAAGAAGGCGCAGAAGGAAATGATAGACTAGCTCAACATGTGGAACAACGTGTTGAAAAAACTGTATTGAAGACCCTGAAATTCCTTCGTCCCAGGAAGATAGGGTGGTAGAAGTGGTTTGTGTAAGATTCGACGAAATAAAATGCATGGCTGTCCGCACGACCGCATAGGCGATTCACGAAGTACCCGAGTCAGGGTCTGGATGCATTTGTCACTATGTCTATAAAGGTAAAATTGAGCCGAACTAGCATCGATAAGGGAAATAGGCGCCCGCTTCTTTACACTTTACCTTCTTGTCTATGACTGAATATTAAGGAACTTGCGCAGAAGGGAAGGGAACTTGGAAGCCTATCTTAACGAGAATGGAAAGCGCAGTCAATGCTTAGCAGAAGTCATCGCAGGGGTTGCTTCGAGCTTGACTCCTATCTCTGGAAATCTGCCTCATGAAAGGCCAAAACGGAGGGTAGTCCAGGTCTTTCGTCTTCCATCAGGGAAGGAGAAGCAGAGCTCGAAGTGACTAGCATCGCAAAGCCTGCGTAACCCAAGATGACTGTTCAGAGAGTGAAAGAGAAGTAGTCTAACCATCCGGCTGTATTTAAGCTGCCTTTATAGATGCATAGCTATCCTTTCCCAGCTCATCCTCGCTTTAATACATCAAGTTCTGTGGTGTTCTAAAGGCCTCTCAGAACCCTAACGTAGCCCACGGCGCATTCCCCTTCTTAAACTAGATCAGCCACAACACGTGCACATCCTCGGAGACATGTACCAAACACGAATCCCTCGACGTACCGTTTCCTTCCACAACCTACTCTGGAGGCGATCGCAGAGTGTCGCAGAGGAAACTGGCTCTTTTAGCAGAGCAACGCTTCGGCATTGCTGAGGCTCCACCCTGGGCTGTATTGTATCTCTGCAATTCCGAATGGTTGGGTCAACGGCTCGATATTGACGCAATCCACCTTTCCTAGAACTTGAAATCAAATTAAAAACTAAGACGCTCTCGATGAACTCATACATCTGCATTCTTTCTCATCTTTAGTAAACTGTCCCGAGAGTATGGCTTCGCTATCTCAGACCGATCAATTCTAAAACAATCGAGCCAGTAACATGATGCTCTTTGCACTTATGATTTGGCCCATAGCACTGGGGCTGGGCACCCTTTCGCATAGATACGACAGGATCATAAAAACGCGATCGGTGGAGACATGAATATCCAGCGATTGCCACCACAGTTGGCGATGTCGGTATTGCAATGGGTCAGCTAGACGGCTTGTACCTTGACTCTGGGAATTCATATGGGTTTATGCTGCACCAGCTTTCTCTCAAACTTGAGTTCCCAGGGCCGGAGTTTTCTAAACATTTTGGACATTGCTCCTTGAGACGAGACATGTTCTTTGGAGTGGTGGCTCCATTACAAGCAACGCATGAGATGATACCCAGCTCTTGCTCTCCTGCAGGTCTGTGAGATATTTCTCCAGATAAGACTGAGGTGTAGGGTTCTGCTAGGTAAATTATGCAGCAAGGACGGCCTGGTCCGCAGTAAGGTCAAGAATAGTCTCAATTCGAAATGGTAGAGGAAAGGGGAACGGAATGCAATGTGGCATGAAACACCTAGGGGGCGCTGCGCCTTTTGAAATCCAAGGTATATTCTCTCAAATGCAATAGAGGACTATGTAAGAAGTGAGGAATGGGTGCAAGCTTCCAAAGAGATGAATGGTTGATGGCGAAAGTGAGGCATAATACCAACCAATGAGGGCCTGCACGAATCTGCTGTCCCTGCGCCGGGTCAACGTCACCGCCAAGACCCCTCAAGGAACGGTGCAGCGAGTCGGAATAGTGTCAAACCCTTAATCTCTACAGAAACTGACAAGCTTCTCCAAATCGCATATATTATTGCCGTTAAACTCTCCGTTGGCTGCTTTGAAGTGCCCCTGTGACTAGCCCTTGCATCCTTTGAACTCATCCTGGGCGCAGAATCAGGCCACTACGTCACCGCGACATTCTAGTCTTGTACCTTCCTCGGGAACTCACGACCAACAGCTGTTTCTTCTCCAACATCAAACCACAAAGAAGCAAACCCGGATAACACTCAGAAACCCATCATCATGACTGCGAATCATCCCACCCTGATCAACCTCCCACCCCCACCCTCAGACCCTGTCACCCCTTCAGATGCGCCGTAAGGCAGCCCCTCCTATTAGCTATGCTTTGCTCCCCAAAAGCTGATTAGATTCATCATCTAGAGGCACACCCAACTCCGCAACGACCTCGATGTCCGAGCTGTCCACTGTCGCAATCAAGGATGGCCACCGCGGACACTTTCCGCATCACCACCATCCGGCCGAAGCTGAGCGTGCCGACCGTATCTCCCGACTCGCAGGCCTTGAGCGGGTCGCTGTAACTGGCCGCAACCAAAACAGCAGCGGTCTTGTCCCTGGAGCCCCGGGCATGAGCAACCCGCCTCCTAGCTACTTCGATGCCAACAATCAGCCCCAGATGTTCCGCGAGCGCAGCACTGTTGGAAGTGCGAGCGCGACAGGCAGTGTGGGGGGCCGAACGACGTGGGCTAGTGGCAGCGATGTATACGATCCTGACAGAATGAGCGAGGATCAGGACAATGAGACGTCCAGCATGGGCGGCTTCAGCGATGAGGCTGCATCCTTGGTCGGATTTGGCGAGGGAGCAAGGACACCAGCTAGACAGCACAGCGCGATTGGAAGCCCAGCAATTGGCAAGGTGAATGCCGTGCCGCAATACTTGAGGGATCAACCACTGGCCAACCCAATGACCAGTGTCAATGTTCCCAGCGGCTCTGGTACTGTGCAGACAACCTCAAGTGCGGAGCAGCAGAAGCAGGATGCAAAGATGATCGATGGCATGACCTACGACGAGAATGTTGTGGATACAGCAAACCGTACGCCTCCTTTGACGAGCCAGGGCCCTGGAGGAGCCCAAACTGCCGAGCAAGTCATCCGCGAGAGGATGCGTCAACGCCAGCGCCAGGCGGCTCAAGGTGGGGTGCAGAATCAGGAGCAAATGGACTACTACGGAGAGCGAGATCGTTAGTCGTCGGTCAATGTCTATACCTTTTCATGAGGCGTTTGTGTGGTTTGCAGGGCGCTCAGCGAGGAGCCGCTACGACAGGAATTCCCCTGAAAAAGGCGGCTGGTTCGCTCAGATTGAGGTGACAGAATCATACCTCTCACCCATAGTATCCTGAATGCGAAGAAAATTCCTTCATGAACCTTCATATCTTTAGAGATATTGGAGTGCTGGGACTGGCCAAGTGAATGTGGTGACTAAGCTACTACATTGAGTTAGTCGAAAGGGTTCGCTTAGCCACCCACAATTGTCGAATTCGAGCTGCATCTTCCACAAGCCCATCGACGCAAGTTCACACAGCCAACACAGGCAAACACACCAGTCGCTATGGCTAGTAAGTTACGATGAAGTATCAATCTGCAGACCGCGCTGACAGCTTTCTTTAGAGTCAAAGAACTCGTCTCAGCACAACCAGTCGAAGAAGAACCACAAGAACGGGTACGCATTTCACTTCCTGCGATGGCAATGAGCCCCCTCCCCGGCCCTTGAACTTTTTTATCGCAGCGTATCAAAGCATATTTGGATATATAGAGCTAATTTGAACGGCGGATTGCAGTATCAAGAAGCCAAAGACGAACCGATACCCCTCGCTCAAGGGAACGGACCCTAAATTCCGAAGAAACCATAGGCATGCTCTTCATGGCACTATGAGGGCACTGGTGCGTACTTCATAGCCAAATATGGCAATGTTTGGCGACTACACCAGACAGCATGCTGACTGCCGGACACAGAAGGAGGTCAAGGAGGGCAAGCGCGACTCGGCATGAGAGGGCGGGTGAGCACGAATGGCGGGGCGGCTTTTCAAATTCCACGATGCGACATTTTGCTGGCGTCAATGGCATACGGACTTGTATGACGGCATTCGGCCCCGAGCCGAAGATATCGGGAAGCGGATTCCAACACAATATAGGTATGAGTGTGGGAATGAATAAGCCGAAAAGTCCAAAGGTTCTGGGCCTGTGATTGTATTTGTTTCCGGTGAGATCTAAGACGTTGGCAATACAGCGTTGCCAAATTTTTCATGGCTGGCTGTGATTTTAACGATTCTCTGAGACTGAGGGCTGTTCCTCAACACGGCATTAGTGTGTACAGCACCGCGCTTCCCCCATACGCGAATGCTGAAGGATAATATCTCGTGCCGAGATCAACTACCCTATCATTACCAAACACTCTCCCTTCTCCCTCATAAGGGTCCGGGTGCATGGAGATAGGGTTACATATTTAGCCTACATGAGAGGCGTGTGTAGATGAGTCGGAGAGGGATTTGGAACGTGCTGTAGAACATGAGATCAGGTTTCCCAGCAGAAAGCCAATGCAAAGTATTCCCAAAGAGACATAGAACAAGAGATAACGTCAACAGGTGAGGTCTTTCATGCATGAGTACTAAGGTATTTGGTCCAGGTGATGTCTTTCGCACCACGTGCATGACAGATCGGAGCTCAACACCGGCCGACCTGCCCTCTTTCCTCTGTCAAGCTTTCGCTCCAACCGGCGGGGTTTCGAGATTCTGTTCCCAACTTCATCTCTCCACCACGCCTCCCTCTACCCTTCACATCTCATTTAACTCTCCGGAGGTGATGCAAGAGCACCCGCCGCAGCCAACTTTCTAAACAAGCATGAATATGTTCTTGTAACGCTCACCCCGGACGAGCCAAAGCGAACCCTGTTCCTGAACCTAACTAAAGCTCAACAACCAGCGTAAACGACACGCATTGCACAGCCTTCTTTAGTCTGAATCACTAGACGTATCTTTGCCGCACGCCACTCGTCACCCTGTTCTGCATCGTCTTACCTGAAACTACTTATATTGCAGTCTGCAGCTTGTTACTCCTTGTCTCTCTGCTTGTTATTTACGTCGTGTCTGGCGAAGCTCACCCTCACCCCGCAAGCCCCGGAGCCGACGACACCCATCGTCACCGCCGCTCACCCAAAATGGCGACGCAAGCCCACTGCGCATATTGCTTCGAATCGCTGTCTGCGAGCTTGGAAAAGCGCCCTAGCCTCTCATTACGACAAGTTGAAGCGTTATGGAGGAAATATAACGCCGACCCCACGTCCTCGGACATCGATGCTGATACGTCGATTCACGACGTGGAAACCTCGGAGGACGAGGATATGGAAGACGCGAATGAACACCTTGAATCCAGTTCAGAGACTCAGATACATTCGCAGTCTCCGTATCGACCAGCTGCGATTTCACGACTTCTTGCTCCTAGTCCGTCAACCGTGTCTAGCTCTTCAGTGAATAGCAGTATTTCGACGCCAGCAAGTGGGGTTAGTGAGGCGAGCTCGGCGACCAGTAAGAGTAGCTCGCGCAGCAGTTTCTTTAGTTTGGGGCGGCGGTTGAAGAAGGAGAAGGAGAGGGTCGAGGTGCAGGATCACCCGCTTTTCGTGACGTGGAATACAGTTGCGAAGGGTGGGGATAGGAGGTTGAGGGGTTGTATTGGGACGTTTGAGGCGCAGGAGTTGGATGATGGGTTGAGGTCTTATGCTTTGACCAGGTAAACTCGCCGCTCCTATTCCTATGCCCATACTCACTGGCACTTTTGCCAAGCACACCCTGGCTTGCTTCACGATGGGGAATCCTAATGCTGAATTGAATGTCCAGTGCCTTCGATGATACCCGTTTCCTCCCCATCCCCCTCCGCGAACTCCCCACCCTCGAATGCGGTGTAACCCTCCTCACGCACTTCGAGCCCGTCTCCTCCGCACTCGACTGGAACATCGGCACTCACGGCCTCCGCATCTCCTTCACCTACCATGGCCGCCGCTACGGATCCACCTACTTGCCAGACGTCGCCAAGGAACAAGGCTGGACAAAGGAAGAAACGATTATCAGCTTGATGCGGAAAGCGGGGTGGAGTGGCAGGAAGGAGGATTGGAAGAAGGTGGATTTGAGTGTAGTGAGGTATCAGGGAAGGCAGGTTAGGCTGGAGTATAGGGAGTGGAGGGAGTGGAGGGATTGGGTGGAGAAGGAGGGGAGTTAGATGCGTTGGTGTAGGCGTATAGATGGGGTTATGGGTGCGGGACTAGGGTTGGGATTGGGATTGGGATTGGGGTTTGGACGACACCTCATGAGATATGCTTGATATCCATGGCGGCTGGCAGCATGGCGTCGTGGGGGGTATAATGGGTCTGGAATGGGTTGAGGGTTATATTGGGTATCATCTTGGAACTAGGAATTTTGGACTTAGACGCCTTGATCGACAAGCACAAATCTACGCTATCAAATCTAGATCTCCCATCCATACTAATAAACACCTGTTGGCAAATATCGTAGCACTGGAATGTATTTTGCACTATTCTTGCAAATAGCACACTTGGGTATCGACAGAAACTATATACAGAAAGAAAAGTGTGCTACATCTACATTGATAAAATGGGTGGGCTCCTAAAGCCCTCCCTTCCGTTTCCCACCAATATACCCCTCAACCTCCTCCTTCGACGGCCACCCCCCCCACTCCTCCACGCCCTGAACCTGGGTCCTAACCAACTCGCACAGGTCCTCAGGCGCCACATCTTTATCTCCATTTCTAATTCCCTCTCTGAACGCGCCATCCAAGCCTGCCCTCAGCGCAACCAACGTCCTGCGCCACAGCACCGGCCCTCCAGACTGCGCATTCGCGCGCACCGTGACTTCCGCAGAATTCCAGAACGCCCAGTTGGAGAAGGAATACAAGCCCTCGAAATCGCAGAGGACGCCGAGGGCGCGGACATATGCATGGAGGACGGCTGGACCGGGGATATGCGGTGGGATCGGGATCGGAGTTAGGGTGGGCTGGAAGAAATGAGAGGTTTCGATGTTTGCGCTAACTAGGGTGTGAAAAAGCGTTCTGATCTGGCGTGGACCGGTAGAAAGGACAAAATTAGTGTCAGTGCTAGAGAAGAATCCTCGGAGGGCGCAGAGAGCTGCATGGCGGAGTGCAGTGCAGATGAGCCGGAATTGCTCGTCGTCGAGTTCGAGGTCAACTTCGTGCATCTTGTCGACTAGCTCGCACATGATCTTGTAGATGATGAGGGGTTTCTGCTTATTTGCGTGAGTGCGCCATGGACCACTGAGCTTTTGCATGTAAGCCGTCCAAACGGGTCTGTAACGTGGTGGGAAGCGAAGGACAAGGGCGTAAGCATAGTCGATGAGATATGAGCGGTCCGTATTGAGTTTTTCCTCGTGTTCTTCCCGGGACAGCAAAGCGGGAATGACAGAAGGGTTTCGAGGATAGCGACCAAACCGACACAGAAAGCCCACGAAAGCCGCGAGAAAATACCCTGGAAGGGTTTGTAAGGAGGACTCGTCCAGGTGTGAGCCGTCAAGTAGGCCCTGTATCCCGCCGTCAAACTGATCCTTGTTAGATTCCAAAAGGCTCAATATCATGTGGAAATCCGAAGACGTCTCCACAAGGAACGCCAAGAATCGGTTGGTGGGTCTGATTTTTGTTCCCGCCATTCGATGGAACAGTTGCTCATATGATGGTATAGGCTCGCTAATGTAGATTAGGTCTAAAGGCGACGTAGGCTCTGGGAAGACTTCCTTTATATCGCCTGGAAGAAGTTGATTGTCAAGCTGCGTGTCAGGGAGAGCTCGGACGTGATGGGAACTGGTCGGTGCATCTTGCAACTCTGGGTGAACGAGCTTCTCGAACATGGCATGATACACCTCTTGACGTGCGGGAACTTTCGAAGCTTCGTAAGCAAGGAAACAAGCCCAGGCCTCCCTCTTTGTTCGCGTCGCCCTGATACGAGCCGCCCAAAGGAAGTAACGAAACCTTCTACTACTTCCGTAATGCGTTGACACTCCAGGAAAAGACGTCCGTGTTTGAATGGTAGGACTCTGATCTATGTCCCATCCGGCATAGACTTCGGCAGCCTCTTCAAATTTGTCACCTGGGTATCCGGCCTCATACATGCGTTGAATGATCTTCGATGCTCGAGAGCTCCCAAACTCGAAATTCTTCTCTTCATCCATAGCTGTCCGATTTTCCTTCCATGGCGGCCATGAGGCGCCCTTCAGCACTGCCCATTCCTGCTCCTGGGGTGTCTTGCGTTGAGCGAGATGAACTCTGGTCACTGCCCTAAAGCCAACTCTGGTGACGATCAGCGCGGGAGAACGGTTGGCCATAAACCTCAGTACTTGGAATTGTGCCCTCTGCTGATAGTGGGTAGAGAGGACCGGGTGATGGCTGGTAGGAAGGGCAAGGAGGGACAAAAAGGAGTTACAGAAGTGAGTTAGGTCGGACTTTATTTCTGGGGAGAGGTTCCCATTGCCTCCCATCTTGTCGTAAATTCTGGTAGCCTGTGTGGTGAAGATGGAAGCTATCCAAGGGATGGCTTCAGACCATATCATCCGGGCGTGGCGAAGGAACCGTATAACAAGAAGCTTAACCGACAACCAATCGAGATGACCGAGCTGCAACCTTAACGCGATATGTCTTGCGACTACCCCTAGAGCGTATGCGGTCATGTGCTTGCGGAACAGGAAAAGGGTTAGCAGGAAAAAGGGCGGGTTGGGATTTCCAGGCTGAAATATCCTTGCAGCAACATACGAGTCCCTGGTGAGTAGACAGGATGCCCACCGTTCGACGTTGTGGGGAGAATAGCTCTGCGATTGCAAGACAGCGACCTCGCGATCGGTGAATCGATGTTCAGATTTTCCCCACGGGGATAATGTCCGGTTTCGGAGGTATCGAGCTAGAATAGTATAGAGGGATATTGGCATTTTCTCTAGATCGATAGTATGATCTAATACTTGGTTGCGACGGTTGAAGCTCTTTCGAAGTACTCCACGAGCCCCTCTCACACGGGGGCTGGCGTAGGCTAGGTCAGGTTTCCCATGTTGTGGTTGTGAATATAGCGTCCGAGCCTGTCCATGGATAGCATTTAGAAGGAGCGTTGGCTGACTCATCCGCCGGGCCTTGAGTTTGTTCCTACTAGGCTGAGGCCGCCGCCGCAGACGATCAGTCGCATGGCTAAACTTTGACTGTTCATCGCTAGCTATGGATTCTGCCTCAGTGAGAAAAGACTTGTCATCAAGTGTTGCAGCTTGTTCGTCAAATATTGCAGCTGATCTTGCTTCCTGGGTGGAGGGAGTGGGGATGCTTGAGAGCCGTCTCAAATCGAGAGGAATAGCATGGCGGGGCTCAGGGAATAGCGCTTGAATGCCAGCTTGAGTTGTTGCATTGGACTGTGATTTCCAACCAGGCCTCACCGGAGCGGGGTAAGTGTGGACAAGACATGTCCGTCTGCTACGACATCTGATTGGACAGGGTGAAATTGAGACAGGCAAGTGCTATCCATAGTCAGCCGGGCTCCTCAGAATGACCGGAGAGAATTTACCAAGCTGTGAGCGGGCGAAATGCAGGCAATGCGTGACGTGTTGGCGAGGAAGCAGCATTGGCTACCTGGGGAGGCCAGGGAAAGAGTCAATGGCATTCATTGACAAGGCCGTAGATGTGGATTGCGGCGGGTGGGGGACGAATGTGAAAAGAAGAGGGAGTAGAAGAAAAAGCTGGGAGAGCGTGACTATGTGCGGGTGGAAGGCGGAAAGGCGGAAAGCTTGTGGTAATTTTAACCACGCTAACTGTGGTTGGGCTGTTCGTTACGGCTATTCCTATTCCGCTCAACCACCACGGATTCGCACCAAGCAGCCCAGCTCTGCATACCAGACACATTCCAGCGAAAGACGCAAGGCCCTTCCATCACTTCACGTTCCCGGTTCATCACAGGGCCCCACAACTGGACTATTCACGGCCGTGTTGTGGTCGTGCCATTCTGTGTGACTTGCAGCGCCTCTTCTTGGCAAGGTTAGATTCGCGTTCTCGACGAACTTCTCTCCATTCACACCCTCCCCCCCCCCCAGCTTTGCACGTCCCGAGCAACCGCGCATTTTCACACAGCGCGCATCCCCGCGAGCGATAAACTCCCGCACGCCCAGCCCCCTTCTGTGGAATAACTTCGCCCTCTGTCGCCGCCTTTCTGGGTGGTGTGGTTGGCGAAGGGCAGTGAGCTTCCACGCCTCGACGGGCCGCCCTGAGCGCGTTGCACTTCCACTGCATCGCTTCCGCATCCAAGACCGCGCCCATCATCAACATGGCTACTACCAACGGCACCTTGACCCCGCCATCATTCCCACCCGCGCCCTCGTCCCCGTCTCTCGCAAAGCGAAAGCGCTCCGAGGCAGAGCCCGCAATCCTTACCAATGGCACATCCGTACCATCCACGAGCGGCCTTGCGAATGGAGCCACGCTCTCTCTGCAGGCAAATCTAGACGACATACTAGCCGTTCTGAAAAGGTAAGAAGCACAACAACTTCCAGAGTGCACCTTTATTGCCCTTTCTAACAGAAGCGCCCCACAGCTACGACACGCAGCCTTCAATACTGAACCTGCCGCTTTCCTCCACTGTCACTCGAGCCACCTCTGGCGAATCCGCCTCGAAGCGGACCAAATTGACCCCCCCAGATGGCTCGTCAAGCATTTGCAGTCTGGTCCAAGACGGCTCCTATCACTCCCTGGGTGCTCTCGAGAAAGATGTGGAAACTGCAGCAACGGAGATTCTCTCCTCTATTGTTCCTGGTGAGATGTCTGCCGCGCGCCTCTCGTTGGCAGATACCAAGCTCCAGACAAATGTTCTGGCCTTTCGGAAGATGCTAAAAACCTTGGTAACGCGAGAAGAGGCCCGAAAGTCGCATACGGCAATGGAGCCTGAGTCAATAGAACAGACAAAGGAGCAGTGTGTGGAGAGTATCGACGGGACTGAATCCGTGCAAATCAAAGAGGAGGAACCTGAGGGCCGCACGGTCCTCACGCTTTATGGTAGCGCCCAAGGCCCGAAGCAGCTTTTCTCTAGCTTGCAGCAGCCAGTTTGCATTCCTCCCTCGGGTGGGCGGCAATGGTCGGGTCTTGATACTTCGGTCAGAGTTACTTTGCCTCTACGCGAATCAAGTCTCCCCAACATCATCTCCACAACCCAGGTCTTCCCAGCCCCAGAACAGACCGAGGGTGGAAAAAAGAATGGCACCACCTTTGGCGAGCTCTTCGCGCCAGCAAACGTCCCCCAACTTAGCCCCCCGAAAGTCACGAAGCCGCTCACCACACGCGGGAATACCGTCACCTTCGTCCCACAAAGCTCATTATCCAAGACCAAACGCAAAGGTTCGCACACGTACACGAACCAAAATCTCTCTACCGGCCAATGGTTAGGGTACGGCGGAGTGGATATGCCGAAGGATCCAACGTCACCCACCGCCAAGCAGAAGAGCAGACAACGCGCTCTCAGTACTGGGGAAGCACAGCAACCACCATCTATAGCAACCCGCGCGGCTGTTCAACAGGCAAAGGAGGACGCATTGTTTCGCAGTGCCTACTCCAGCTTCGCCCCAAGCCGAGATGACTCCACTGCAATAGTTCCCGAAGAAACCAAGAACAAAATCTGGTGGGAGCAGTTTGGCGAGCAGCGCTTCAACGAAATGTACCTCATTGACCCTGCTTTACTGAACTTGGATGAGTCCTTAGAACCCGACGTAAACGGGACTGTGGACGAATCTGAAAGCTTCAAAGAAGCCGTAGAAAGCTTCACCCCAGCAGAAGATAACCCCTTCTCGGAGAAGAAGCCCGATCTCGAGAAGAGTACAGATGAGGTTCTTCAGGAAATTTCCGAGCTTCTCGAGATCCTGGCATCGCACCAACGCATCCGGAATTCCTCCTTGGCTACCAATCCGCGCACTCCGGTGATCCAAAACTCATCACTTGCGTCCCTTGCGGGTAGCCCCTCCACTCCTTCAGAAGAAGAGATTGACATCTACCAGATGCTCAAATCCCAATTGACCTTGATGATTGCTCAGCTCCCTCCGTACGCTGTTGCCAAGCTGAACGGCGATCAACTCGACGACCTCAACATCAGCCGAACTATCATTATCGAGACCAAGGAGCATAAGGGTGTATTGGAAGAGGATCAAGCATCAAGAATGGCTAAAGCTGCCGCGCTCAGTGCTGCGGCGGGTCCACCGTCCTTGTCACGAATGGCATCCGCTGGCACGAGCACGTCCCACTACCCCCAGTCCAGCACCCAGTATACTCGGCCCACGTCATCGGTCCATTCATCAGCGGCCCGGCCAGTTCAGACGTCTCAAACCTACTATTCCCAGCAACAATCAGTCCACAGATCGCCCTCAGTGCACTATCAACGCTCATCGACGGGCCCTACCCAGTCTTTTCAGACTCCTGGCGGATATGCCAGCAGCACCCCACGACAAAGCTACCCTGTAACGCAAGGTTATAGCCAGCAAGCACCACGAGCATCTTTTGGCCAGACCCAACCTGGACAATACTATCCACAAAGGCCTGCTCAATCAAGCGCTTATGGTGGTGTTACCAATTCTCAGTACTATCAGTCCACTCCTCAAGCTCAATCTCAGAATCGCTATCCGGCGCAACAAACTCAAAATGGCTTCTACCAAAGGCCACAGAACGTTGCACCAATGCAAAGTTACAACGCGGCTCCCAGCCCTCATGCGCGCACCGCATCTCCTTTGAAGGCTAACCAGTCGTTTCCTCAGACCACTTTCAGTGGTGCATCACGTCCTTCCTACGGAACACCAGTCTCAGGCTCGCAAATGCGCGCTAGCTATTACCAGCAACCAGGTACCCAATACTCAACCCCGCAGCCTCCCACCCCATCTACACCTGGCCCAACCGGATATAATGCAATGAGTTCAAATCACCAACAAATGATGTTGGATCGACAGCAAGCACAGTTGGCTGCCCAGCCTCAGGCACGTATGGCAGCACAGAATAGCTTCAACCGGCAGGGTTCGGGTACGCCTCAACCCCCGAACTCACAATATGGCAACGGCGCTCCTCCTATGGTGGCTTAATGAAGGACAGTGCTTTACAGTAATTTCTTATGGGCCGGAATACTCGATACCAATGACGGCGTGCACGGCGTTGGATAAGGGAATAGATTCACGGGACAGCGCGGCCTCTGGGACGCGGGCGATTGGGCCCACTCTGTTGTATTGTGTCTGTTCACACAGAAGCTGGACAGCATTTTCTTTTCCCAAATAGTTTTTTTTTTTTTTGGTAACGGGACCAGTTATGTTGCTGTGTTCCGTTCTATCCAGGTTAGAAATTCGTGTTCCTGGGGGAGGCGGGGTTCACATTATCTGTGCGTCTCCAAGAGGACTTTCTATTGAAGATTGTGAGATTAAGCTCAGATGGGTGAGCCCAGAGCAATGCATTGTAATATCAAACCCAGATTGCTGAAGTGGGTGTCTTAGTAGGAGAGTGAATGGTGAGGTAGTGACTTTGTGAATGGGCTTTGATGCCTCGCTAAGACCTGCCTACGTCATGGCGCAATCAGTGGCTCAGACGCGTGCAACGTCCAAGACAGGCCACAGTCAGCCTTCAAGCTTCCTTCGCGGAGCTCCGATTAACAAAGACATGAAACATCCACAACACCTGCACCATGGCACACCTTCTGCGCGGAAAGCAGGCCGGCGTCCACAGCGACCTTTCTGCCGGCCTGGGACCTGACCTCTTTGTGCTCGATCATGTAGCTATCAGCCTCACCACAGGGCGCAGAGCGCTGCCGGGAGCGCCAGCTAATCTGGCGGCAGATCACCAACTTTGGAATTAGTTCCCAAATATCGCAGATTGCCTACGACCCCGTGCAGTCCCTCATCGCCGTCGGTACCAACGAAAGCAAGTTTGGCTCTGGGGAGATATATATCTTCGGCCAGAAGCGCGTCCAAGTCGTCCTACCCCTCCCACATCGAGCCTCGGTCAAGATCCTGCAGTTCTGCGCCGAGAAGTTGTTGTGTCTCGATTCACGAAACGATCTCTCTATATTCTCGTTGGAGACTAAGCGGCTCATCAATGCGCACTCTCCCCCCGCGAAAATCACAGCTCTGCACAGTGATCCCACGCTAGACTATGCCTTGCTAGGGACACAAACGGGTGCGTGGCACAGCTTTGCATGACTTGCGTTAGCTGAATGTAGTTACAGGCGATGTACTGGCCTATGACCTCGACCGAGAGAATCTCGCGCCATTCAAAATACCAAATTTGTGGAGGGAAAAGTTCCCTCGGTCGCGATTAACCTCGATAGTCTCGCTCTCCTTTCACCCACGAGACATCGGATCTTTGTTGATCGGCTACAGTGCTGGTGCGGCTATATACTCCTTCAAGCAGAATAAAGCTGTGAAGTTTTTTAACTATGTGCTCGGCAAAGGCGCTCCTGGGGGTGACTCTGACCCATCGTCAGTCTTTACAGAGAGGAGTCCGCCCTTGACCCAGGCTGTATGGCACCCAACTGGTACCTTCGTCCTGACTGGGCATGAGGACAGCAGTATCGTCATCTGGGACTCGAAAGATGGGAGGATCGTTCAGGCCAGGACCTTGCAAGACACGAACGTGGACAGACCTGGCCCCGGAACATTTAGTCCTGGTGCGGCGCCGGGAACATTTGCACTCAAGTCACCACTATTTCGCATTGCTTGGTGCGCCAACCAAGACCCGGATGACACGGGGATTCTGATCGCTGGCGGTGCTCCATCTACCCTAACCACCAAAGCCTTGACCTTCTTCGAACTCGGCCGTACGCCCGTGTACAACACCTCCTCATGGCAGGTTCTTTCCGGGCACTTCGAAAATCCAAAACGCCAGAGGATCTTACCGACCCCACCAAACACCGAAGTTATCGATTTCTGCCTCATTCCCCGTTCTTCCCCGCACTTTGCAGGAGCACAGGATCCGATTGCTATCATAGCCTTACTAGCATCTGGAGAACTCATTACGTTGAGTTTCCCCAGCGGTATGCCCATCTCTCCAACAAATCAACTGCACCTTTCTATGACCCTTGTGCACCCGTTTGTAAACCACATCAATCTAGCGCCCGTAGACAGAACCAGATGGCTAGGTATGACGGAGAAGCGACAGCGTGGTCCTCTTTTCCTTACTGGCGGCGCGGAAGCGAATAGCCCTCTGAAGAGATTCGAACATCGCAACATTGTCCAGACTTCCCACGCAGACGGAACGGTTAGGCTTTGGGATGCTGGGCATGCCGACGAAATTGAGAACGACTCGCTTCTCCAACTTGATGTAAGCCGAGCGGTAGGCCGTCCCGAAGATGTTGAGGTCACTCGAATGGCGTTCGCAGGCGCCGCGGCTGAACTGTCCGTGGGTCTTAGATCCGGTGAAGTCGTCATCTTCCGATGGGGCGTCAACAAGCACTCTGGACAGGAATTCCCACCCGGACCCAATCTAGAGCATGCACTTACAAGCATCACTGACAGGACGGAAGCTGCGCTCAAAGAAGGGCTATTACCGTTTACTTTACTGAATGAATCAAATGGGCCTGTGACAGCGTTGAAGCATTCAGATGTTGGCTTCGTCGCTGCTGGATTCGAAGCAGGCAGCTTAGCAGTCATCGACCTCAGAGGCCCTGCCATCATCTACAGTGCGAAAGTGACCGACTTCATCAAAACGGATAAGCGAGGCAGCTTCCGCCGCAGCTCGACTCAGGCTCCTACTAAACCTGAATGGCCAACGAGTATTGAGTTCAGTGTCATGACAGTGGAAGGCGATGATTACTCCAGCATCTTACTTCACATTGGAACAAACCTTGGACGCCTCGCTACGTTTAAGCTACTTCCGGACTCAGGTGGCCGATACTCAGTAAGCTTCGCTGGCGCCGTCTCGCTTGATGACCGCATAGTCAACATCTGTCCCATCCATGCAGAGACTGGCCGTCCAGCATATGCCTCCCAGTCAGCCGTCTCGGGGCTTAGAAATGGAGCCAAGGTGAATGGTGTTCTTCTTGCAGTTACCGCATCAGGAGCCAGAATATTCAAGCCAGCAACACACAAAGGTGCCCAAAAGACGTGGGATGAGTTCTTGTGTGATTCTGCTGCCATCGTTCGGTATGAAGAGCTTGGGTATGCACTGCTTGGGCTTTACGGTGACGGCTGTGCAAGAGCGTATTCGATACCGGCGTTGAAGGAGATTGGATCGATCAAGGTAGATCAAGTCTTGGATACGAGGAGGTTTTCTGAGGCAGTCATTACTAGCACGGGCGATATTTTTGGGTGGAAGGGCCCCGCTGAGCTGGTTTTGATCAACGTCTTTGGAACTGGGCTTAAACTGTGAGTTACAATCTCCTTCCTTTTAGCAGCCAAGTACTAATATCATGGAGGGACCAAATGAGAGATACACTTCTGAACCCAGAGCTGTTGGTTCCGCCAAGACCAACAATATCAAACATGCAATGGATATCTGGAACCCAATACGTCACCCCCTCAGATATGGACCTACTCAGTAAGTTGCTGAACCCCATCTTCACACCCAGCTAACTCCTCGTGTTCCAGTTGGCGGACCCGACCGCCCCCCTTCAAAACGCATGCTCGCACAAGCTCGAGCAGATGACGAACAGCGGCGACGAGACGCTCGTCTTGGAGCGGGCACCGCTTCTTCATCAGTGGCGCCTGCAGATGAAGGGTGGGGTGCCTGGGCAACAAGAACGCTGAATGAACGAACGGAGAAGTTGAATATCGTTGGTGACAGTATGAACAATTTAGAACAAAACAGCGCGGGCTGGGCGGACGACGTGAACAAGTTTGTGCAGAAACAAAAGAGGGGCCTAGTCATGGGTGCTATGAAATCCAAGTTTGGATTCTAGGTAGATGGGAAGGCAGGTCAAGGGGGATACATTCGGCGTATATGGGCGTTGAGTGATACAAGCTTAAAAACCTTAGGTGCGGCGAGCGAAACAAGTGCTACTATGTTTGAAGGACTAATTGGGATAACGAAAGTGGTGAATAGACTTGATTGCAATACTTAGGCGTACAGTGGAAGGTCAATAACTGTGTAGATGGATGCAAATTGCACAAGTGGCCCAGAAATGCCTTGCTGGCTGGTGGTCTGCTTCAAAGCTAGTGTCTGACAAGTAAATGTAAATCTGTTTTTATAACTGGAAGATGGCATTCACTTCACCGCTGCATATCCCGCCACTGCACTTGCTTGGCATTAGCTCGCATCACTCGTCACCCCCGCTCACCATACCCAGGCACGTTCTTCGTGCTACCTAACCGGTCAGCGTGCTTTCCTCCCGAAAGTAGTCTGAATAGTCTGAGCGGTGTGAACAGTCCGGGTGGTCTCAACATCACTGTTTTCGGTCAACTCATCGAGCCATGGCCGTACGGTCCCCGTTGCTACTAGTCAACGTACATGCTGCCGCCTGCAAGACTTTGGCGGAAATTAGGTGAGATGGACGCTGGAGGGAAGCATTGTTAGGCATGTGATATCGAACTAGCCAGAAGATGGAGAATGTGAAGGACTTCATCATCAACCTGCCCCACGATGTTCTGCTCATTTAGCAGAATGGCGAGTATTCAAAGTCTTCCGTAAACCTATTACTAGCGTTTGCAGCTGTCGGTAAAGTCACCAAGAAAGGGGCTGCCAATGCCACTTCTGTAAACCTTGATTGGTGAAATGTATTTGTATTTCATAAACGTGTCGTATGTGATAGTGGAGAAGAACTGGCAGAATTCAATGCTTGGTGCCAATTATCCCATTACGATCGACTTCGAACAACTAACGGCGGGGTGGGGGTTTCAAAATAGAGTTCACACGAGACTTACCAGCTGAAAGGGATAGCAGGAGGGTTTCTTGCTCCTTGACTCAGCATAAATTCATTCTCGGGTGGAACCCGAACATCTCCCCTTTGCTTTTTTCCCCCTGAACTTCGAAAGCTGCAATGCATTTTAATAGAGTTAGCTTGCCCGTTGGGCTCGGCCCGATCCGATTCGATTCGATCTTTTACCCCACCCTTCCTTTTCTTTGAAACGTTTCCTGCATGCAAACTTGCTGTTTCAGGCACCCTCACTTTTCTAAAGTAGTTCTTATCGATCGAACTTGCTTGCATCCATTTTATGTCTATTAGAACGCGGAATAAAGAATGCGATTTTAACATCAGCAGCATCAGGCAAGAGACAGAGGAGCTACTAGTTGAACAGGAATAGCAGACCATTTTATGAAATGTGGTTGAGTAAATCGAGGAGATTGATTGGGTGAATGACGCCTTCCCCCCCTGCATTTGGGGGTGGAGGTCTTATGCCCCGCTCTGCGGTTTTAGTAGTAAGGTTGATCCAGGGTGTCATAGAAGGTGAGCTATTTCGCCCGTTCGGTGGAGGATCAGATTGTGTATGATGTCGGAAGGATTAAGTTTTGCTGTGGCAATTAAACACCGACAAGGTCTAAGGCTAGCATCTCTCCCTATTTCCATTCCCAGCTGTTAACTGCTGGATTTGAGCAATGTTTAAGGTAGCTATATAATAGATTCTGTGACATGCGATAGATTATAGGTTAACGTTTGCACATTGCGATGGTGAGACAAAATTCCCCGCTTATACTCTCCAGGAGCGCATTGTCTAGAACCAGGTGCTACCTAGAACCCACCCATGCCATGTTTACGCGCCCTCAGCATGTGGAGATTTTCATGCGCGATATACAGGGTGCTGCCCAGGACCGACTCATGACATGTGCTATGTGTCGCTCAGGAATATGGAATGAGGGGTCAGCTAGGTTGAAGTAAGTTTGCTTCACCGTCTTGCGACTCCTGAGCGGTTTTGCAAAGTTTTTATGCAGCTTATCTACCTTCGGCGGACCACGGGTTGCAGTACTAGTATCGGATGATGCGGGTTTGTGGTGCTGTCGAGATTGAGCAGAAGAGATATCGATTTTTTCATTTTTTTTTTTTGGGGGGGGGGGAAGGGCTAGATTGTGTTTGAAGTGTCTTGGTGATTGAGGAGTGCCATCTTGCTCCGGTTGGATTCACAAATATATCAGCTTCTTTGAGCGCAAATGTTGTCAGATATATAAGAAAATGATGCTGTTGCGTATACGCACTTGCCGTTTACCTTGAACCTCCAACAACCATGCATCCAAAGACCAGATTACCGTCGCCGTGAACCTGCGAATACAGAATCGCCCACCATAAAACTAACGCCAAAGGTCATTATACAAAGAGGTAACCCAGCCCAACCCAACCAAGATCCGAATCCGAACAAGTCCCACTCCTTCTCCTCACCCTTCTACACCATTTTCTCTGTCGAAACTGCCCTCTCCGTCATATTCCTAAACTCAGACCTGGAACTCTGAGTTTCACTCTGCCCATCAACTTCCACCTCCCTCGTATGCTCCGTCTTCACAGTAATTGTATGCATTTCCATAATCTCATCCTCACTCCCCCTACCATCCTTACTCGCCGCAACACCCATACACTCCGTCGTAACAACTCCCCCAATCCTATTCTGATCCATCGACCGCTTCCCCGACCACACCTGCACCGATTCTCTCCTCGGCGTCGTATTTGAGGAGACGCCGGGGAAATTGCTACTGCGATGGATGGAGTCGAGTCGGTCGGTGAAGTTTCCAGGGCTGGAGCCTGAGACGGAGCGGTTGGAGTCATTGGCGGTGACCCAGTGGAGGACAAGGACGGAGAACAGGATATCGGCGTTGCAGCACATGAGGCAGATCCAGCCTGGCTCGCCTTTGAGAACCATGAGAACGGTCAGGTTGACGACGCTAGAGACTAGGGTAGCGCAACTACCGAGGAAGGTTCGGAGGGCCATGGAGTGGAGGGAGGTGTTTTTGTTGTGTTGGTATGAGTAGAGTTCTGTGTAGAGGGTAAGCATGAGGGTAGGTTCTTGTTGGACATACTAACTCCGGAGAGGGAGGAGGAATAGCAGGGTAAGGTAGACGTTGACGACGACGTCGAACGAGATGAGGGGGAGCATTGCAATCTTCTTCATGCCAATGATGCAAACACCGTTCTCATTAATATACGCAATGCGGCTGTCGTAATGTGAGCAATGCTCCGGTGGATTACCTTGGGGCTGCTTACAAGATGAAATTCAACACGATGACTACTAGGTACGGTACTGTGACTGATCAGTACTTATCCCCTACACCAGTGTCTGTGGTATTTGAGCTTACCAATCATGCCGAAGAAATTAAATAAGAAGAGTTTGTCTTTCATACGCGCATTGCGGCTTCCCCGGATTATGTACTGTGTTGAATAAATGTCTGTTTTAGTCATGCCTAAGCATTTAACGTACAGCTTTTTCCACGAGGAAGAGGTAGATGAGGACTTTCGTTGTCATGTAGCAGATCAAACCTAACCAATGTTAAACCCACAGAAAATTTCATGAATTGCTTCAGACCTACAGAGTAAAATTGCTCCCTCGCAAACTTGCGGTGAATCATTGATGCCGAGGCCTCTTGAGATGATTGCGGTAACGAAGACGAATAGTGTCGAATCGATATAGATCGCGAGAATAACTTCTGGCGCGTTAACGCAGTTTAGTTGGGGAAAGGAATGGTAATCTTACGCCAATTTGTGAAAGGCAAACTCTTCCATCTTCCAACAGCTTGCAGTCTGCGGGCTATTCAAAGGGTCAGAGAAGTATTGAGGTTTTCATAGAGGGGTAATTGTACTTAGACAAACTGCGAGTACACCGAAGGTAACCAGTGAGAGGGAGATAGAAATGAGATTTCCTGCTGTAGGGATGGGTGCGGGTGGAGGATGGTTAGCCATCTCGTCGGATTGTGTCCTCGCTAAAATCGAAGCACTTGCATGAGATGACTTAAAAGAATGCAAGTGGACTGATTTCCAACTCTGCCACTCGGAGAGAACGTGATTTGTATATTGGCTGAACGCGACAGGAGTATTGAAAAAGGAAATCTGAACAAGGTTTGAATGGGTGGCCAATCATGGAGCCCGGGATTTTCGCCTTGATGAACACAAGCCAAGGGTTCTACCATGCTGCGATCGCCCGTCTAGTGAGGGACTAAGCATTTGTTAGGACGGAGGGGCCGCCACATCCTTGCTTTTGCAAGTGCGAACCACATGTCGTAAATTCGAGATAATGGCGTTCTGTGAGGTGGCAGGGCTGAAGTCTGGCAGAACTCTGACCATCGGAGTCGAAGCTTGCCGTGGGAGATCATCGGATCGACGTCGACGCGCCCAAAATGCATTTCAAATGTCGACTAACGACAGACGCACGTAGCTAGTCATGCGGACCCTGCAGTTTGACATCCAAACAGAGGAAGTGAATGGGCTCTTGGTATCATCTAAACGTGCTCTGCATCTTGGTGTTACAGATGCTGTCGTCAGAGCGACCTCGTGATTTAGATTATCTCCTATGTCGGATCCCCCTCACTGTTGGATCAACCAGGAGAGCATAATTTTAGGTTTTCGAGCCCTCCAAACTAGGTTTGTCACCACTGAGGATACCCTTTTTGTGTTGAATTTTTGCAATGCCACCTCGACGAATACTGACCGAGCTTTCGGATCTCAAATGGGTAAGAAGTTGTTTGAACATCCTTACTAGCACAGGGGAAGGAACATCGGGGAACCGGAGCAGCCGTCCAGAGCCCCAAAATTAATTGGAAGAGAATTCAAAAGGGTGGAAGGGAAAAGGGTTGGCAAGAGCCTTGAGGCGTTCTCCTCGAGTGTTGACAGGCAGGAGTCTTGTTGGAACCTTCAGCCCAGAACTTTAACCTCGCACATTCCATGGCTCGTCTGATCTTCCCCAAGCCCCGCGGTCTTCGCCGTCCTGCAATCTGTTCGCTAAAGGTTAATCCAGGCTGAAGACGCCACAAACTAAACTTCTTGGGGTCGGGATGCGAGCGTAGGAGTTTGCCCCACAGCAAAGCTAAGATCTCGGTGACGCCTCACGATAATGCAACCAGCCATGAGGCTTGGCGGAAGGGAATTCCAAGGGTTTCTTGGTTACGATTCTTCGTGACAGGATGACAAGCTGGTGGAGGATAGATTAAGGTATCAACAACAACGTTTCCAATGAAAGCAAGTGCGGAAAGGAATAACAAGGAGCCACCACGCTATGCTTCATCGGGAAGATCACATGTTTTCATTACACCTCCCAGCACAGATCTAACTTCTTTTGGAATGCAACGATTCCCGGAAGGCTGTTTTATTTTATGGAGGAGCGACCTTAATACATCTAAGAAGCTAAAAACAAAACGAGTAACTGAAAGAAAATACCTCACTACCCTCCTCATCATAACCCCTTCTTCACTATATCTCTCAACTCCTCTGCGTTCTTCATGTTTTCCAACTCTTCAACTTGATTCCACTTGATCTAATGAACTTGAAAGCCCTTTGATCTAAGAGCACCCAATAAGCTTGACCGAACCGACAGGCTGCTGGTCTTTGATGTGGAAGCACTGATTGAGCTGATTGCTATCAATGACCTTGAAATTTTGGCTCGCGCAGACTTCGTTGAAATAGAATTTCACTATATCTCGAATCATTCACTATTATTATTCAAACTCCATGCCCCCTTCTCACGGTTCTAGGCGAACACGTTCTTCCCATCAGCGCCTTTGATGGTTTGGCACGTGGTAGTAAGAATGGGTTCGAAGGTTCCATCCCCGTTTACGCAGTTGAGCTCGTTGAAGAGCTGCACAACCAGAAGAAGAGTCTGGCCGGAAGTCATTTCAGAGGCGGGGTTGACAGAAGCGACGGCTGCAAGAAGGAGGGAGGTGATGAATGGCTTGGGCTGCATTTGACTGGAATGGGCTGTGAAGCGTGGATGTTGAGAGAGATCGTCGACTCATTGGTGTTGTGAAGTATGCAGTGATTGTTGGTTGGTAGCAATAATAGAGAGTTTTGAGGGTTTTATATGCAGTCCACGGAGTTATGACTGTGGTGAAAAATATTCAATAGGTCTCCTCATGGTACGTAAGAACAATAGAGAAGTAATAGGACGAATCGTGATATTGACTGAAGTGGTGCTAGGCTTGGCTATAACACGACCTCATCGCCGCCGCATTGTTCCATCGAAGGTCCGAGAACACAGGACTCGAGGATGAAGAGAATATCCGGAATCTTACATACGAAGAAGAGGAATGGGTCTCACATTCACTTGATCATGAGGTACGCTTTCGTCTGACACCATGAGAGCCCAAGCAAGCCGAACACCGCTCCAGGCTTTCAACCAAAGAAGGTTTCGGGCTATCTATTCGCCTTACCCATATATTGAAGAGGCATAAGGGGTTAGAAGAGGCTGTGAAGAACTGATCACAAGCAAAAATTAAAGGCTCGTGTTCACACCTCATCACTTAACGTTGAGGTACAGGCTGAGCAGCGTTTCCATCAGGAAGTAGTACGATTCGACTCAGGCTTTCTAGACAAGTTACGTCTCACTTATCATATACTTTTGTTTGCTTCACCTGACAGCAGGGGTTAATACAATTAAGTTACAGTTTAATTAAAGCTGCTTATACTTCTTAACTTTTTACTAAAAGTTATAACATAACTGTTAAAGCTTTTAGAGTAGCAGGGTCCCTCTTACTCTTAATATAGCACATAAGGTTATTTAATTTACTAAAAACAACCTTATAACGTAGCTAGTTCTTCTAGAGTTGTAAAGCTTTAATTATAGAGCCTAAGAGATAATTACAGTCACAAGTAACTATCCTTTTTCCCCTGCTAAAGGCTCTGTGCTATCTCCCTATACAAGGGACTGTCATCTTTTGCTATAATAAGGTTGTCTAAGGTTGTTGTAGTACAGGGCAAGCTCTAAGGCTACACTAACATGTAAATAGTGGCACAAACACGCTCCCCTGGCCCTTACGCGCGTTAGAGACTGCAACCTTAAAAAAGTCTACCTTAATTGTATACTTCTTACTTTTAAGCCTTATTAATTAAATTGTAACAGTTAAAAATGTAGTTACGTTTGTTTGCCTCACGTGATTGTAGGTGGAGCAAAAGTATCAATTGTACTACTTCCTGTTGGAAACGCCGAGGCTGAGTTTGCTAATTGAAGCCAGGTTTGACTAAAGAAGTCACACGGTGTATGTGATTAGTGCAGCTACGGGCCATCCAATTTCCGTTATTTTGACAGAAAGCTCGCAGGATGGGAAAATCTTTTCTTTGTTTACTCAGCTTCCAAGGATTCCAGTGTAGGCCAGCTAAGTGTAACCGCGCTATCATATGCCCGTTAAGGGCAACGATTCGGAAAGGGAATGAGTCAAAATGTCTTTCCTCCGTCAACTACTAGTAGTAGTGGAGCGTTGATGGAGTATGATAGGGAGTGATTAGCACTTCGTAACCCAAACATTCCTCTCATTCATGCTTGCGGCATATGAAGAATTGAAATCCATTGAACGGAGATCAAGAAGAGCAATACACTTACCCAATTATTGCACGTGGATGTAAGTGGCCGATCATGGGCCATCAAATCTCGAAAGGAACAAACAGTAGAGAATGTAAGTCTCACCTTGTCTCATGACTGTTAAACCCTGAACACCAGAAAGGGTTCGATTAATGTTTCTTACCTACATCTACTCGTGAAGTTCTGGAAAGGTTGACTAGGCGAATCGAACTTTCATATTTTGTTTAAGGGATCGGTAAGCTGACCGCTCGATCGCTTGTGGGGCTATCATGACCACAAAGGTCAAATGTACCCGCGAAACAGGGCGTTGACGGGCGTAGTTCGTGAGACCGAACGGAGCATGAGAAGAACAAAGAAGAAGTATTCCACCACTCCTCCACACAATTGAAGGACTTATGTTCATGCCACCTCGCTTTAGGTGGATTGTCAGTGTGACATGTAGAGGGGTGTGGTAGACCCGAGGACGAATTCGTACCCTTTCGAGTTTAACGGTGTAGTAAAGGCAAGGACCATGACGTTTCCACATCGCGTCTTTTTTACCCCGGACCCAGCATTGCAATTTCAGTTGCCGTTCATACATGCATGTCATGAGGTGGCTCGCCTCCGTTAACCAGGTTGAAACAAGGACCCGCTTCTCTGCGGAAACGGGAACGCGTGCTGGCGCTGCGCGAGGTAGGCAATGAGCTCCTCCCGGGGGCTTCGAGTAGCGCAAAGACGGGACGGGAATGGCTTGTAATTCTGGAGGCAAGTTCCGCTCATCGTGTTGTAGGACCTTAGGCTGGCCTGGTAACGGATTGAAGGCGCTTAGTTACCTAAAAATTTGAGTTCCCATCTTATTTGAGTCCCATCAACCAAGTATCATTTACAAGTCTAGATCAAAACTTGTCAACACATATATCTCTTATAGATGGAATTTCTCGTTCGAAGAAAGGTCAAAGTTGTCCCTCTGAACATGCACGTGGAACATAACTGCCTAGTCTGGGTAGAGCTGACCTGTCAAATCTTTTACCAGAACCAGAGACAGCAATAGGGGAATGCTAGTTTCTTTCTAGATCAGACCTTTCTTATGTTGAATTCATATGTGCAAACTTGTAGCACACAGATGTCGGACCGAACCTTTATGATAGGGAACAAGGCAAGCAGAGGAGTTCAAACCGCATTAATGACTCTAGTAAAGCCTCGTGAGCCGAGAAGCTCGTCTCAAGGCGGCTGAATTCTCTAGGCTACGGAAAAGCCCGTTGCATAATTTAACAAGAGTGGAGCGGCAAGAGCGGAAGTGCGCTTGGTTGGTCGTTGTTATCTCAGCTAGCTCAGACGTGAGGAGAGAACCGAGGACGCACAAACCACCATGCATATTGCTACTCCAAATAGAGTATGGCCTGGGGGGTT